CTTTTTGATAGGGGCTTTTTGGTCTTTCTGCAATATTGCACCGGGAGCTCGACTGCGTTCAGATATAAGTCGTGGGACATCACTGAATAAATTGGCCGAGAAAAAAGCCGACTTTTCCAAATTTTTTCTTGCGGTTCTATGGCCTTCAAAAGTGCCCTGAATTTTGGCAACTGCTCTTATCAATATTCTCCGTGGGCTTTTACAGTATTCTCCGTAGGGCCGTACAGTATTCTCCGTATCCGTATTCTCCGTAGGACCTGGTAGACTGTATAGTCCTACGTAAAACACTGTAAGGTTCCAGGGAGAATACTGTGCGGTCCCACGGAGAATACTGTAAGAGCCTACGGAGAATATTGACAAGGGGGCTACACTGCAAACTGAATGGAAAGACATTACGCCAAAATGTGGCGAGACAAAAAGTCTCGCCACATTTTGGCGATACTTTCATGTCTCGCCACAATCTGGTCAGATTCAAATGTCTCGCCAATTTATGGCGAGACTTTTTTGTCTCGCCAAAATATGGCCCAAAATTATTTAAATAGGGTAGGCAATGCATGGATTCATAGCAAAATACATAAACTACTGCATTATTCACAAAATTCACGAGAAATCATTTCTGATCACCACTGATAGTTGTTTGACCCACTGGGGACTCTCAAGAGTAACGCTGTTTGTTTCGCTCATAAACCAAGAGGTGCGTCTTCACATAACAGGGCCGCTCACATTCAGTTTCATTGAAATCAGATTGTACTCACAATAATCACAGTAGCACTGAGGCTATGAAGAAATTTGCAGGCAGGTTGAGAGTTGATTCATCCAATAAAGATTGTGTACAAACATGTAGCTGTGAGTACTGTACAACTTGGTCCAGAGCACAGATGGTGTAGACTGTTGATGAACTAAACATTTTGACAATTATCCTTTTCCACACGCAGTTTGACAATAGCTCGAACGATAAAAAGACATCTTCGCGAACAGATAACCCAGTTGGCAACAGTCGTCATCGCTCCAAACTAGAAAAAACTTAATTTTATTGATGCAAAGTCGGGAGGAAAACATGATAACCAGCGGCCATTTCCTCAGGTTACTTTTGTTTACGAGATGTGAGGATGTGACTGCGAATACTGGTTTGGTCATGCGTATAATTTCCCAACCCGAATCTGAATCTAAATCGTCACGCCCATAACTGTCCATAACCTCTTCTGTCCAAAAACAAAAACATAGCCTCTAAAATGGCTGCCAGCCTCTGAGCGATTGTTTGACTTACAACGATATAATTTAGTTTTTCCTAGTTTCGAGCGATGACGACTGTTGCCAACTGGGTTATCTGTTTGCGAAGATGTCTTTTAATCGTTCGAGCTATTGTCAAACTGCGTGTGAAAAAGGAGAACTGTCAAAATGTTAAGTTCATCAACAGTCTGCACCATCTGTTCTCTGGGCTAAGTTGTACAGTACTCAAAGCTACATGTTTGTAGACAATCTTTATTGGATGAATCAACTCTCAACCTGCCTGCAAATTTCTTCATAGCCTCAGTGCTACTGTGATTATTGTGAGTACAATCTGATTTCAATGAAACTGAATGTGAGCGGCCCTGTTATGTGAAGACGCACCTCTTGGTTTATGAGCGAAACAAACAGCGTTACTCTTGAGAGTCCCCAGTGGGTCAAACAACTATGAGTGGTGATCAGAAATGTTTTCTTATGAATTTTGTGAATAATGCAGTAGTTTATCTATTTTGCCATGAATCCATGCATTGCCTCTCGTTGCCTACCCTATTCAATAATTTTGGGTCATATTTTGGCGAGACAAAAAAGTCTCGCCATAAATTGGCGAGACATTTGAATCTGACCATATTGTGGCGAGACATGAAAGTATCGCCAAAATGTGGCGAGACATGAAAGTATCGCCAAAATGTGGCGAGACTTTTTGTCTCGCCTCTCCAGAGGCGTAAAGTCTGACCTTTGGATTTGTAGTGTACGGAGAATTACCACAAGCTATTTACAGAATTTTCGGTACCTTTTTGCCACAGTGTTAGTAGTTTTTGCACCAGTTAAATTTACGTTACCAAGGAAAGAACCACATAAACGTGCCAAAGGTTTGTCAGATCAAAGCGGGAGTAGGCATAAACATGATCTGTACTGTTTTCCGCATGAACAAGACATGCCAACGGTCAGCCATCACCAGCTCCAGAAAGCTTGTTACGATCTTTCTTTCAGCACAAACAATTTGGATCTTTCTTGCGCGGCACAAACAATAATAACTTTTTTTGCGATCTCAAAATACACACCCAATTAGCGTCCTGCTAAAAAGGCGGCCGTCACCGAAAGTAGACCGGCGGCCGGCAGCAGGAAGCCAACCCTGAGCGCGCGAGGCCAGGTCCAGCGGCTCCACCCGAGCGCGTGCTGCGCCCCGACTCGTTCGCTGGAGTACTGCCGGATGTCCTTCATATTCTGGAATCGGTTGACAGTCAAAGGGTCTAGGACGCCTGGAATAGGAGTGGCAGCCACTCACATTCAATGCTCAATCAAAGAGATAAATTTAATAACCGTTCGATGGGTATAGCTCCTTGCTGACCTTGTGACGTTGAGCTGGGCTCAATCAGTTCACTGACGGTGCATGGCCAAGCGGCACCGTACGGAAGCGCGTGGGTGCTGCAGCTGGAACCACATGATCTCGAAGACGAAGGCGACAGACGCCGCGAGGAGGCCTCCGCCCAGCAGCACGAAGCAGTCCCAGAGCTGGGCCAAGCCCAGCGGAGAGGCGCTGACTGCCTGGCGTGCCCGGGCGCGTTCCAGTTGGTACGAACGGATGTCCCTCACGTTCTGGAATCGGTTGACAACTGTTGGGTCGAGACCAGCCGCCCTAAATCGGCTCAAGGTTGTTCGTAAAGTTTTTTCTACGGGAGTGTCCTTCTTTGTCAGAAATCTGGTAGTCATAAATTGGATTGGATCACTGAATTTGTGGATGCTTTTGAATGTTCCCAACTGAGGTGCTAGAAATGGAAGAAGAGACTCCATGGCCACGATGGCGGCACTTCGGTTGGACACGGCATCCAAGCTAATCTGAAGTGGATGTCGGAGTATTACTTGACGATCTGTGCCGGATAGGAATGTGTGCATTTCCGGTGCCAATCCGGGTTCAACATAGACGGTCAGATTTGATTCCATCAGTTCACTTAGGGTTTGAATATCTTGAGAGTCGCATTTGACGAGGAGATCGGAGAGGAGATTCCCGGTGTAAGCTGAAGAAAGGACGACACAGAACAGTATCCAGCTGCCCAGGAGCGGGCGATACGCGTCCCTGCCGACCGGTGACGCAGCCTGCGCCACGAGAGGGGCCAGGGCGTCCAGGACAGCCGCCGAGCGCGCCGAGCGGCCACCGTGGCCACTCAGCAGCAGCAACCCGGAGGCGACTGCGAGGAAGGACAGCGCAGTGGCGACCCAGAGCGATGGAGTGAATTCTTTGGTGACGCTCTTGACAAGACAGTTGCCCTTTCCCATACCCGATGGCACCAACACCACCATCCTATCCATGCCCCACGGGTAGGAGTTGTATGGGTTCTCACTCGTAACCGTCAATGGAATAATTGCTTCCAACAGGTCAGGCCGACATGTAGTGAAATCAATCAGCCATGCTTGGAGGTCCTCTTCCTCAGTGTTGATATTTATTTTCCGAGCAATGGCCTCACCAAACTCTCTGTACATTGAATGATACATGTTTCCATCATCGCCGGAGTAAAGCACCAAGTCACTCTTTGACCTGGTTTTTGCAAAGTAGCAAGGCAAGAAAAACGGCATTTCCCCTCGCGAGAAAACTAATGAATAAAGGCCCCTTTTCTTCGAAGTCGAGTACATGATCGAACCGTGCCTGGGATCTCCGACAACGAGAGCTGCCGACAAAACATTTAACTGCTGGGAGTATGTTGCTATTTTAATGTAGTAGTTTTCCGCTGAGCCCTGCTGTCGTCCAGTCCAAAGCAGTATTCGGCTTCCAATAGGATGCCTCAAGCCAGCAAGTAGGGCCACGAGGTCGGACGCTTTGTCCTCGGCGATCACAAGGACTGCACTCGGTATGCACAAGAGAAGACGTGTGGTCGGAGGCAGCCACCCTGCCGTCGGCCTGGGCAACAGCATGACGGACGCTGCGTCCTGCAGGCCCAGGAACGCGTCCAGCCACCGCGGGGTTCCCATGACGAACAGTCGGGGCGAGAACGGCCCGGTGCGCAGCAGGGCGGGCTTAAGCAGGCTGTGGAGGTACCGTGCCTCGCTGTCCGCGGTCTTGGTGTTGTCCAAAATGGTGATCCACGTGGCAGGCAGCGCTCCGGCAGAGACGAAAAACGCCACGGCCAGCACGGCCAGAGACGTCACGTCGCGCGAACGGGCCATCCTGGAGTAAGCTGGGCCCCTGCCGCGGTCAAGTGTCACTCCAATCTGCGGTGACAGCAGGCGAGCTCTTCGGCGCCCCACGCCGGCTGCCACGAGGCCGGAGTGTGTATGAGGGTGCGCATGTGCGCGCGCGCGCCAATGAACGTGATCGATTCTGTTGACATGACGCGACGAGTCATTTTCTCTTAGCAAAATGGGAAGTTGTAGAACTTGAAGATTCATGATCCGACCAAACAGAAAAACCCTGAGTTCTCTTCACTTTACTGCAATGGTGGCCAAGGCGGCAGTGGGACTCCAATCGTGGAATTTTGCCTGTTCCAGGTTGGCGGTATGGCAAAGCGTTCGATTGGGCCCTTTACCCCCCTGCTGTTTAGTCCACGCCAAGGTGGGCGGCTTCCCAGAGAGCCCCCCAAATTGAGTTATGATCAGGCACCACAGCGGGCCAAAATTTGGCCGGCAAAAAAGTCCAAAATGTGGAATGCAATTTTTCCGTGACCACAGGATTCGACGACAACAAAGTTTCAGTGTGAGGCCTCCCTAGTTCAAAGCACACCGAGCTTGGAAGGACAAACCCCTGCGATACCCAAATACCGTGGTGAATTCTTTGGTGACGCTCAACAAGACTTCATTACCATGCGGAGGGCCAGCGATTCCTCTATCCATGCCCCACGGAAAGATTGATATTGTTCAACACAAAACGCTGGATTAATGGGGATTGATAAGTTCACAGGCAAGGAGTCTCAGTCCAACCAACCCTAATGAGCAGCCTCCCGTTGCCCTTCCTGTCCCCGGCCACGCCGTACCTCTTAAATCTTCAAGCACAACACTTGAATAGTTTTGAAATGGCCCGAGAGCACTCAGGCCTTTTGAAAGTACTGCGACACGATAAAACATGACAGACATAGACTATCGTTGACCGTAGCGAACGAAATGCACACAAAAGTAACAATTTGAATGTTTCGTTTGTCTAAGAGGAGTAGCCATGTTTACTGTTTTTATTGTTAAGCTTTTGTTGATTGCATATGCGCACCAACCTGTTGAGTGCCCGAAGGCTACTGCGAGGAAGGACAAACCCGTGGCGATCCAGAGTGCCGTGGTGAATTCTTTGGTGACGCTCTTAACAAGACAGTTTCCCTTTCCCATGCCGGAGGGCACTAGCGCCACCATCCTATCCATGCCCCACGGAAAGGATTGATATTGGTTTGAAGACAAAACTCTCAACGGGTTAATGGCGTTGATCAGTTCAGGCCGGCATGCAATCATACTATCCAACCACCCCTTATGATCAGCTTTCACAGTTTTGATATTTCCTTTCCGACCAATGGCTTTACCGTACACTCTGTATATTGTGAAGTACACGTTTTTGTCCTCGCCGGGATATTGCACCAAGTTGGCTCTTGACTGGTTTCCCACAAAGTAACAAGGCGGGATGAATGGCCCCTTTTGTGGCTGCCAAACCGGTGCTTCGAGGATCTTGGTTATTGGCACTTGGAGATAGAGAGACCAAACGAGCGGACTTGGCTGTCCGTTTGTCCGGAAACAAACGAAGGTGCACTCTAAATGTTGTACAGTGGAGATTCTCCATATTATGGTGAAAATGTTCCATAATATGGTGGTGCAGCTGACTTCGTAACATACCATTGAGAATTCACTGTACCTTATAGAGATTTTGACGAATTTCGTTCGTATTATGGAGAAAATCTCCACCATATTATGTTGGTGCAGCCTTTCACCGTAAGACATTTACTGTGTGCGAGCTTCGGCTCGTTCGGCTCCGTTTCGTGCCGAGCCGGGCGCGCGGACACGGCAAAGCTCGCCAGGCTCGGACGCCGAAGCGACCCGAAGGGCGGCCGACGGGTCGCTCGGAGCCGAACGACAGCCGCTAGAGGGCAGCACCTGTCGAGAGGGTTTGTGACAGATGCCGGGCGAGGGGTGAGGCGGGGGTCCCTGTTGGCCTGCTTCCGAAAAAGGCGGGTGTCGATCCGGAAACAGAGGTTTCAACGAGCGTTCGGCGACGAGTTCGGGTATCTTCGGAAGCCGAAAAATGCTTCGGCTCGCAACACATGCCGACAGCCGCCGACAGCAGTGTCCGCCAGTGTTGCCAGACGTACCACCTTGGTGGTACATGCACCACTATTTCGAGCCCCGTACCACCGTACCACCACCGAGCGATTCCGTACCACCTTTTCCGGGAAAACACCGGATTAGGTCCGCACGCAGGCAAATGGAACTTTTCGGGCGCCTGGGTCGGAATGTCGTCCCCCAGAAATCGAGCGTGTAATCCTTTGCCTGCGTCCGTGACCTATTCCAAGGAAAGGGGCTCTGATCGGTCAGGTCGGACGCGGGAAACTGAAAGTGCAGTGCTACTTTTGGGCCCCGCCCTGGGCAAGCGGGCAACAAAACGGGCCTGCTTGCTTGTACATCAGCCGGAGGAGCCGCCGCTGACTTCTTCAGAATTCTCAATTTGGCCAAATTCTAAATTCCCGATGTTTACGCCTAGCGTAAATTTTTAGCCCCCCCCCCCTTTCCGTACCACCATACGGCTCCAATGTACCACCTTTCCCCCACCCCTCGCGTACCACCGAAGAGCCCCGAAGTACCACCTTTTCCCCCTCCCCGTACCACCGAGCGCTGTTCGGCTTCTGGCAACGCTGGTGTCCGCTCATTTGGTCTCTCTACTTGGAGACACGAGTACATGGTAGAACCGCGCCAGGGATCTCCGATGACGAGTGCAACCGGCATCACTTTTAACCATTTGGAGGATGTTGCAATTTTATTGAGGTTGTTTTGCGTCCCGCCCTTATCTTGCCCTGTCCAAAGCAGCAATCGAGTCCCGATGGGGTGTCTCAATTTTGCCAGAAGGGCCACAAGATCGGAAGCTTTGTCCTCGGCCATCACAAGGATTGCACTTGGTATCGACAGATGTAATTGCGTCCTCGGGCACAGGCTTCCCCCAGTCAGCTTGGGCAACAGCATGACGGACGCTGCGTCCTGCAGGCCCAGGAACGCGTCCAGCCACCGCGGCGTCCCCATGACGAGCAGTCGGGGCGAGAACGGCCCGGTGCGCAGCAGGGCGGGCTGGAGCAGGCTGTGGAGGTACCGTGCCTCGCTGTCCGTGGTCTTGGTGTTGTCCGAAATGGTGATCCACTAGGCAGGCAGCGCTCCGACGGAGACCAACAACGCCACGGCTAAACACGTCATCTTACGCAGATGGGCCATCCTTGGAATGTGCCGCACTCAAGTGTCGCTGCAATCGCTGCGGTGGTGGCAGGCAAGCCAAGGGCAAACTGACGGCAAGCGCAGAGCGGACAGTCGGGCAAACTGAGGGCAAGACCAGAGCGAAAAGTCGATTTGTAGGCTATTTCCAAACCAGGCGGGCCGACTGTGTTGAGGTCTCTTGACTGACTGCCTGGGCCGCAAAAGGTTCGCCTGCGGTCAGCGCAGATTGAAGCGACACTTAACCAACACAGGCCCAACACACTCCAGGATGGCCCGTCCGCGCGAGGTGACGTGTCTGGCCGTACTGGCCGTGACGTTGTTGGTCTCTGCCGGAGCGCTGCCTGCCACGTGGATCACCATTTTGGACAACACCAAGACCGCGGACAGCGAGGCACGGTACCTCCATAGCCTGCTCCAGCCCGCCCTGCTGCGCACCGGGCCGTTCTCGCCCCGACTGTTCGTCATGGGAACGCCGCGGTGGCTGGACGCGTTCCTGGGCCTGCAGGACGCAGCGTCCGTCATGCTGTTGCCCAGGCCGACGGCAGGGTGGCTGCCTCCGACCACACGTCTTCGCTTGTGCATACCGAGTGCAGTCCTTGTGATCGCCGAGGACGCAGCGTCCGTCATGCTGTTGCCCAGGCCGACGGCAGGGTGGCTGCCTCCGACCACACGTCTTCTCTTGTGCATACCGAGTGCAGTCCTTGTGATCGCCGAGGACAAAGCGTCCGACCTCGTGGCCCTACTTGCTGGCTTGAGGCATCCTATTGGAAGCCGAATACTGCTTTGGACTGAAGGAGAGCAGGACTCGGCGCAAAACTACCTCATCAAAATAGCAAAATCGTCAAACCTGTTAAATGTGATGTCGGTAAGGCTCGTTCTCGGAGATGCCTGGCGCGGTTCCACCATGTACTCGTGTCTCCATGCGCCCATGAAAGAGGTCCTCGGTCCGCCAGTGTGGCAGCAAGGAGAAGTGCCTTTCATTCCGCCTTGGTACTTTGGAGGAAACACTTCAAGTAGCAACTTGGTGCTCCACTACAAATGGGAAAACTTGTATTACACTGTGAACAGAGAGTTCGGTGAGGCCGTTGCCCGGCACGCAACGTCAACACTGAGGAAGGAGATCCAGAGATATGGCGGGAAAATTTTGTTTCATGTCGGCCTGACCTGATCAACATGGTTAATCCGATGTGGATATTAGGCGAGAATCCGTATAACTCCTTCCCGTGGGGCATGGGTTTGTGAAAGAAAAATAAAACGTCAAAATAAAGACGAGTTTATTTAAAAAAATCTACAGGCTTATTGGTACGATTTCTCGTAAAACGATGACATTGTTGAGGTGTTACACCGGTGAATATAATCAAAATTCTCCGTGGTCAGCGGCATTCAAGAAAAGACTTAGCAAACAAAATGCAAACGCGCGTAAACCTAACTATTTTCTCAAAGGCCATTTTTTGTGGAAATTATAAATGACATCAGTAAATAAAAGTGCTAATACGCCATCCCTGGTCAACATTTCGAGAAAGTTTTAAAACTGCACCGACCTATCACATTTGTAATACTGATCCGTTCCTCAGTTCCTCTATTGCGGCAGGCGGCCGTCAGGAGGCGGCCGTCAGGAGGCGGCCGTCAGGAGGCGGCCGTCAGGAGGCGGCCGTCAGGAGGCGGCCGTCAGGAGGCGGCCGTCAGGAGGCGGCCGTCAGGAGGCGGCCGTCAGGAGGCGGCCGTCAGGAGGCGGCCGTCAGGAGCGGCGTCAGAGCGCCGTCAGGAGGCGGCCGTCGGAGGCGGCCGTCGGAGGCGGCCGTCAGGAGGCGGCCGTCAGGAGGCGGCCGTCAGGAGGCGGCCGTCAGGAGGCGGCCGTCAGGAGGCGGCCGTCAGGAGGCGACCGTCAAGAGGCGGCCGCCCCGCCGCTCTCCACCGCCCCCGCGGCCCCGCGGCCTCTGCCCTTCGCCGAGGGCAGCAGCGCGCTGCAGGGTGCTTCCACCGTGAGGTGCAGCACGAGGGCCAGCGCGAAGGCGAACACCACGTCGGGCACGGCCAACGTGATCTGGAACACGGGGAGCAATTGCAGTGTACTGTAGATCTACATATCGACAACTCCGCACTTAGAAGTGCAGAGTTTGCTGTCTCCACTCTTCGTATGTGAACTTGTCCACGTTTCCACCATGTTTCCACCGTGCCTAGAGATAGGGCCTCTGTGAACTTGAAGTGAGGAGACTGCCAACAACACACGGATAAGTGAGGAGAATTACTCCTCCCGGACTTGGTTTGGCGGTCGCCACACGTACCGTGTCGATGGTGCTGTAGACGGCCGCAGAGCGCTGCTGCCCAATGGAATGAAGCTGCACGAGTGCGTGCGTCAGGAAAGCGCAGTAGGACAGCCGGGACAGCGGTCGGAAGGCAGCCAGGCAGCGGGCCCAGGATTTCTCTGCGGCAGACGGCGAGGCTTTGCAATGCAGGTTCGCCAGTGACGCCAGAAGAGTGCGAAAAATGGAGTACAAACAAACAGCACAGTGGGCCAGAAGGTCGGTGGAGGTGGCTAAAATTCTACACGCGATTCGCATGCATTCCTCGTTCGAAGAGGAATCCATCGGTGGGATCACATGTTCGGTTCGAATCCCACTCAGCGACTCTGGGGCTCAAAACGCGTCTAGAAGTTTGGCCGCCTCTACCGATCGTCTGGCCCACTGTGCACAGGTTTGTGGCTGGCTGCATCTCGTTCTGCCTCCTTGGCAACAAAGTAGGATGAGATGCAGCCTGCGGCTCCATTTCGCCTTCCCCCACAACACACAGCCTCTGCACTGGCATGTCCGCGGGCACGGGCGTGCACAAGGGGGGGCGGAGGGGGCGATCCCCCCCCCCCCCCGAAGGATCCCAAAAGGTATACTTTTGAGGCAGGTTTTGGCGTCTAACTCCTGGAAGTTAGGCAAAGTCCCTCAAAAGAAGGTTCCACCGCCCCTCCCGAGGAGGCGAGCTGTGCACGCCCCTGTCCGCGGGATCCGGATGTCTTACCACTGTTGTCGCGCGAGGCCACCACGATGAGGGCGGCGGTGTAGGAGAGCGCGCAGGCGGTGCGGTACGTCCCCGCATACACGACGTGCACCCAGCGCGGCGGTGCAGCGGCCACCAGCGGCGGGTAGAAGACGGAGGCGGCCAGGACCACGGCCACGGTGAGCAGCCCCAGCGGCGCGAGCAGCCAGGACAGCGCGGCGTGGGCGGGCTGCCTCTTGGCGCGGAGGTGCCGCAAGTGCCAGCCCGCCGCCACACCCAGCACGTAGGGCCCCGCGCGGCACAGCGACGACACGTACACGCGCATGTGGATGGCCGTGGCCGCCATGTGGCCCACCACGCTGCGGGGAACAACACTGTGGCTCCAAGTGCGGCGGCACCCCCACTTGGAGGAGCAGAGTTTGCAGTCTCCCTTCACCTTCAGGTGTGCTGGTGCTGTTCTCAAAGTTTGCACCATGCCAAGAGACAGGGTCTCTGTGAGCTACTCCATATTTCAAGTGTGGAGACTGCAAAATCCACTCGTCCAAGCGCGACTCACTCCGCACCAGGAAGCGTGGAGTTCTCCACACGTGCTTTGGCAGTGTACTCACTCCGGGTACGGGATGATGGTGCCGTCGAGTCCCAGGCGCCACGTGACCACGGCGGGGTACACCACGGCGACGAGCAGCGCGGCCCCCAGCAGTCGGCCGGCGAGGCGGGGCTTGGAGTGGGCCAGCATGACGAGGGGCGTGGCCAGCACGAAGAGCTGCACGTCGCACGCCAAGTACCAGCTGGGGTCCAGGCACTGGGGGAGGGGGAGGGGGCATTTTGTTACTGCGTGTGCGCTTTGTCAAATGAAGTGTGGAGAACTCCACAAATCCTGGTGCGGAGTGATTCTCCACACTCGGATGTGGTGGAGGTTGCAGACACCACTTTTGGACGTGTGGAGTTTGCAGCGTCGCTATCGCTTGGCATGGTGCAAACGTGGAGAACTCCACACTCGATGTGTGGAAGCTGCAAACTCTGCAATTCCAAGGGAGACTGCAACTTCCACACCTCCGCATTTGAAGTGCGGAGTCCCCCACATTTGGTTTCTCAGCGAAGCAGTGTACTCACCGGCTCGTCCGGCCGCACCAGGTTGTTGACGAACAGCAGGTTGGCCCACCAGCGCTTTTGGCATCGCCGGGCCTCCTCCACCACCGTCACTTTCCACAGCGGTCCGGAGCCTAGCGACGGCAGGCCCACGGCCAGCACGGCCACGATGACGGCGTACGCGGGGACGAGCCTGCAACCACCGCGCTTTTCATATCGGACAAGAACAACCCCGGACGCTCAACCAGAGTTCATTTCGAGGTTCATCTCTAAGTTCTGCACAATTTTCAGCAGATGATATGCTACCTTTGACTCTCGATAGCAATCAAAAGTTGTCTTGAGTGGGAGCGTGTGACCCGCCAGTGGATTCCTCGTTCGGAGATCAATCCATTGGTGGGGTCACAGGTACGGTTCGAGTCCCATTCAGCGACTCTGGCGCTCAAAACGCGTCTAGAATTTTGGCCGCCTTCCACCGGTCTCCTGGCCCACTGTGGGGCCTCGGGGCCTGGGGACAGCCGGCCCGGCCCGGCCCGGCCGCCATTGTCAGTGTTGCCCCAGTAGCGGCGGTAGCTGCCCTCGGCCCACGGCCGGCGCATGGCTGCTGCCTGGCTGCTGCATGGACGGCATGGAGAGGTGGGTGCCCATCACCCTCGTCGTGTTCCTGGGGCTGGCCGCCGTCATCGTCGTGGTGTTCATGGCCATCTACTCGCAAGAATCCTCGCCGTAAGTCCGTCCCGTCCGTCTGCAAGGCCGGCACGGCCGGCAAGGCGCAGGTGGGCCTCCGAAAACCGGGTGACTCCGTTGAGCAGCGGACTGATTCCGAACAGCGCTTTTGTCGCTCTCTGCCGCACTCATGGCGCGTCCTCCGAGGGCGTGCGAGAGCACTGTGAAACCAAGGTGTGGGAAACTCCACTCTCTCGGCACATGAAATGTGGGTGTGCGGAATTTGCCGTCTTCACACTTTTATGCAGAGTTAGCAGCCTCCACCACGATTGCACCATGCCAATAGATAGGAGCTCTGTGAGCTACTCCACACTTGGAGTGTGGGGACTGCAAACTCCACACGTGTGGAGAATAGAGTACTCCAAGGAAGCTCTGGCCCGGAAGAAGAAGAACAAAAACGGAAGTAAGAAATTGCAGTATCTATGAGAAATATACGCTGCGCATGAGGGTCCGCAGCGTACATTTCTCATAGAAACTGCAATTTCTTACTTCCGTTTTTGTTCTTCTTCTTCCAGGCCAGAGCTTCTTTGGAACTCCGCACCGGGGAGCGTGGCGTTCCCCACTCCACACTTGGTTTGACAGCGAGGCGAGAGCCAGGGCGACGAGCACTGTTGGAACGGTTCGGCTGCGAGGGACGCCGCCGCGCGCTGAGCCTTGTCCTTGTCGCAGTGCCGGCAGCGACGCCCTGAAGGGGCCTCGGCTGGCCGTCTTCCTGGTGCCGCCGCCCCGCCCGGACCGCCCTCCGACCGGCGGCAACCCACCCGGGACACCGCCAGCGCCGACGGCCAACTCGACCCTCTTGGCGTCGTCCTGGCTCGACCTGGCCAACCTGGCGGCCGTCTTCCCGGTGGACAGGCCGGGCAGCTTCTCCACCGAACTGTTTTCCCTCGGCGCCGAGGACCGCCTCCTCAGCCGCCAGGAGGCCGCCGGACTCCGGCATGGCGTCGCCGAAGGACCTCGAGCAGGGCCTCCAGCAGAGAGCGAGCCGCACAAGATCCTGAGGGGTGACCGGCGCATGTACTCCGGGGAGGTGTCCACCCGCAGCCTCCCCGCCACGCCGCGGCCCGCCACAATCACCACCTCCAGGAACAGGGCCTCCAGGAGCACGGCCTCCACCAGCACCGCCACCACGAGCACGGCCTCCACGAGCACGGCCTCCACGAGCACGGCCTCCACCAGCACCGCCTCCACGAGCACGGCCTCCATCAGCACCGCCACCACGAGCACGGCCTCCACGAGCACGGCCTCCACGAGCACCGCGGCTATCGCCGTGGCCTCCACTGCAAGTTCGTCCTCCGGATGGTCAGCTACAAGCGCTTCCCCGCCGCCACCAAGACCCTCGCCCACGCCCGAGGGTCTTCCCATGGCCGCGGACCGCGTGGACCAGTGCGTCGCATCGGGGGGCTCGCCGCTCTTCGTGCGCGAGGAGGACGCTCAGGTCCTGATCGAGGACTCCGTGCGACAGGTACAGTAGGCCGCATCAAAAATCACCGATTTTTGCGAATTGACATTTTTCTGAAAGATCATGTTCAGAAACGACCCTCCACCAAATTTGAGCGCGTTCCGACAGCAGGAACCCGAGGCGCACAGGGCCTAAAGATTTGCGGTCCGCGGGTTGCCTACCTCTAGCTGCTTCTTCTCGGCGCCGCGGCTCTCTGCTGGTGCACTCAAGGAACGCAACACAGCGTTGGGGCTGTCCTTTGGGGTCAGTACTACACATTCAATACGTTTTGAGCACCGTCCGGTGCGACCCCGCGAGTACACCGCGAGGAAACCGCGAAATCGGTTTACTCTACTTTCTACGCATTTGAAGCGTTCGCGGTGGGCGAAATCGCTGGTGGAGCAGCACAACCATATCGCCCAAGGACACACACGTTTATCATCTTACGTTGGTTTTGGTGCGTAATACGATGATTTTCCATCGTAAGGTACGACCAATTTCCAACCTGCATAATACGCACGAATGTCAACGTAAGGTACGCAGGATTTTCAACGTAATACGCATGTTTTCAACGTATTACGCACGTTGTCAACGTAAGGTACGTTGGTTGCGATTGTAGTACGATGACATTTCAGCGTACGCATGTTTTGATTTCAGCGTATGTTACGTTCGCGTCACCATCGTAAGATGATAAGTGTGCACAAAGTTTGAGCAGAATGCGCCACCTGCATCACCGTCAAAATGAGGGGAATAGTGTTGCACTCGGTCCGGAGGTAGGCCACCCGCGGCACAATCATATTTTCGCCAGTAACTGTTTTCTGTCATCGAATGCTAAATTCGGTCACGGTCGTTTAAGATGGTCTCCAGAAATTGGCGGAAATGGTCGATTTGCATCACCGTAATTGGGGATTAGTGTTGCCCGGTCCGGGGGTGGCCACTCCCGGCACAATCCTATTTTCGCAGTGGAACTCGTTTCCCTGTCATTTGTGTGTCAATTCGGTGAAGGGTCGTTTCTCACCATGGTTCTAGAAGGCGGAAATGGCGTTTGAAATAGGTGACTTTGTTTGGGCCAACCAGTGGCTATTTCCGCGGGGCAACCCAGGTGCCTCATTTTACGGTATGCAGGTGGCGTACTTCCCTCAAATTGTGTGTCCCTAGGCGTTTGTCTTGGTGCACCCCCAGCGATTTCCCGCCGGCGAACGTTTAGAGGTAGGAACCGCGGAACCGAATTCTTTCCTGGCGGCCTCGGGTTCCTTGTCGGAACGCGCTCAAATTTGGTGGAGGGTCGTTCGAGGATTTCAGCAACGGTGTCAATCGCATAAATGTAAGTCGATTTGACGGCCACCCCAAACGTGATGCGTCTTGGAGGCACCTCTGGAGCCGTGGCGCTCGAGCAGCCACTTAAGGTGGAAGCCGGACCGCAGACCCTTGGCCTGTGGCTCGGTTCCCGGTTGTCGGAACGCTTGAAGTTGGTGGAGGGTCGTTTCTAACCAATTTAGAAAGGTCAATTCGCAAAAAATAGTCGGTTTGACGGCCTACTGCACTGTGAAACTGAGAGCGAGAGCCTACTTTTGGAAGTTTGCTTTCGGGTCCCACACTTCAAGTGTGGAGTAGCTCACGAGCGGAAACCCTATGGCGTAGTAGGTAAGGGGAGTACTGAAGGTGGTTTAAGAAATTTCCTCTCCAGTGCGAAGACTGCAAAGTCTACACCTCCGCATTTCTAGTGTGGAGTTCTCGCAATCTTGGTTTCTTAGTGTGTTAATAGAAAATCCTCTGGACGCAGGTGCGGCCGCCCCAGAGTGCAGTCATGCGGAAGGCCATGAAGGCCCTCATGGAGGCGTACGAGAGGCACATGCAGATGCAGCAGGCCTCGTCCTCCCCGCCGCCCGGCGGCTGCGTGCAGCCAGGCACGCGGCCTCGCACACCATCCACGCCGAGGCCGTCGTCCAGCTCGGTGTCCAGCACACTGGCGGCCTCGGCCACGACGGGGCGCCTCCCAGCACGCCGACGAGGCCCCATCGACTACCCCGCCGACTACGACAACGACTACGAGCACGCGGCGGGCGGAGTCCCTCGGCGCATCCTCTGGCCGCTGCGCGCCGTCATCTAGACTGGACGTACCCCGCGTCGGACATGCTCCCCGCGTCCAAGACGCCACCCTGGGCGTCGGCGCTACCCCGCCCAGGGCGCACCGCGGAAGCAGACGGAATTACCAACCTAACAGCGCTCTTGTTTCTGTCCCGCTCTCCACTGACCTGAGGTAGCGATAGAGGTACACGCTGAACAGAGACAGCTGCTTCCCTCTCTGCAGGTGGCCGAGCAGGGTCCAGCTCAGTAGGCAGCCGCCCGCCACGAAGAAGACGTCCACGATGACGGACCCGTTGATGAGCAGCACGTCCAGCGCGCTGGCGTACACCTGGGGCACAGTTAGAGCGTGCAGCGGCAGCGGCAGGAGGCGACCGCTGGAGGTGACCCAAAGTCCCGGGCGCGTTTTGAGCTTCAGAGTCGCTAAATGGGACCCGAACCGATCGTGTGACCCCACCTATGGTGGAGGAATCCATCGGTGGGGTCACACGGTAGGTTCAAGTCCTGGAGCTCAAAATGCGTCTAGAGTTTTCGCGCCCGCCCCAGACAAAAAGATTTCGCGCCCGTTACGGGCACAGCCCGAGCAAATCTGGGCACAGCGCGGGCGTGTCCGGGCTCAGCACGGGCTCAGCACGGGCACAGCACGGGCAGGAGCTATATCAAGTTAAGGAAGGAGAGGGTTTTGAGCCAGCGCTGGCGCTGGCGCTGGAAGGTGAGGGGCAGGGAGGCGGTCGCGCTCAAGCTGGCTTAAGCCAGACGCAGCGATACCCCTCCCTGCCCCTCACCTTCCAGCGCCAGCGCCAGCGCCAGCTCAAAACCTTCTCCTTTCTTAACTTGTTATAGCTAGGTACGGGCGCACCATCCGAAGGCGGGCCGAGGCTCGAACCCGCATGGGGGTAAATGCGGGCAAGTACGGGCAAGTACGGGCAAGTTCGGGCAAGTACGGGCAAGTGCGGGCAAGTGCGGGCAAGTGCGGGCAGATGCGGGCAGATGCGGGCAGATGCGGGCAGACGCGGGCAGGCACGGGCAAATGCGGGCAGATGCGGGCAGACACGGGCACATACGGGCAGATGCGGATGCATCCGGAGCACCTTGATGTTTGTGCCCAGGACCCATTCGTGGACGAGCTCGAAAAAGGTAAACACGAGTAATCGAAGCCTGGAGCAGTGCTGCATGCCTGGAAGCTAACTATCTCGTGCCAGGTGAGCATGGAGGTAGTTTGGGTCGCCTAAGCTACGGTGATAGACGAGCCCCGTATCACCCTGTAGCTTAGGCAACCCAAACTACTTTCCATGCTCATCCGGCACGAGATGGTTCCCATAGCTTCCATGCATGTAGAACTGCTCCAGGCTTCGATTACTCGTGTTTAGCTTTTCCGAGCTCGTCCAAGAATGGGTCTCGGGCACAAACCTCAAGGCGCTCCGGATGCAGACTCATCTGCCCGTGTGTGCTCGTGTCTGCCCGTGTCTGCCCGCATCTGCCCGTGTCTGCCCGCATCTGCCCGCATCTGCCCGCACTTGCCCGCACCTGCCCGCGCACCTGCCCGCACTTGCCCGCACTTGCCCGCATTTACCACCATGCGGGTTCGAGCCTCGGCCCGCCTTCGGATGGTGCGCCCGTACCTGCCCGTGCTGTGCCCGTGCTGTGCCCGTGCTGTGCCCGTGCTGAGCCCGTGCTGAGCCCGTGCTGAGCCCGGACACGCCCGTGCTGTGCCCAGATTTGCTCGGGCTGTGCCCGTAACGGGCGCGAAATCTTTTTGTCTGGGGCGGCGCCGGCGCCGGCCACTGTGCGGCGGCGAGAGCGGCGGTGTGCGGGCGCCTCGGTGTTAGGCAACCCCTTCGACGCGGCGGGCCTTGACGTGACAGGCAGACGCCTGGATGGCAGGCCACCCCTTTGACACGGCGAGCCTGGATGTCATTCCTCTGGAGTCTTCTCGTTCGAAGCGAATCGAATCAGGTCGCTGGGCCCGCTGGGTCCCGCCATGGGCGCCTCCATTTTGAAACCAAGTGTGGGGAGATTCCACACTAGAAGTTCAGTTTCGCACTAGAAAGTGTGCGGGGACTGAAAACTCCACACTTTGACACGTACATTAAGCGCCCCCGCACTGTGGTGGCCCAGTACCATGCGAGCGCTGTGTGGCTGCGTCCGTACCTTCTCCACGTCCACGCCGTTGACGACGGGCCCCGCCATGAGCGCCTCTCCGCGGTGTCCCAGGATGACGAGCACCACGCCGACGGTCTTGGCCGCGTGGATGAGCGCGATGTCGTCCGGCTCGGCCTGCTTGGGGTCGTGCCGGCCCACCAGCGCGCTCCAGTTCCGCCGCAGGGAGAACGCCTCCACGGCGTTGCCGCGGCCTGGGCGACAAAGCCAGCCGTGCTCCATTGAAACGCGGCCAAAACCGGCCAAAACTCTAAACGCGTTTCGAGCTCCAGAGTCGCTAAACAGCACTCGAACCGAGCGAGTGACCCCACCAATGGACTCCTCGTTTGAACAGCAATTCATTAGTGGGGTCACACGTTCTGCTAGAGTCCCATTTAGCTACTCTGGAGCCCAAAAACCCGTACAGTATGGGATTTTGTCTTTGACCGCCTCTGGCCCTCTGCACTGCGAGAAAAAGTGTGGATAGTACAACAAAAGTACAACAAAAACTGTACAATAAAAGTACAACAGGGATTGTAAAAAGTACAACGAAAATTGTACAAACCACAACGAGGCCTGGACCGCACAGCACTCGTCATGCCGATTCCATTGTACTTTGTACAACAATTGTTGTACTTAAAAAGTACAATAAATACCTGATAAAAAAATTGCCAGAAATTTGTGTACTTTTGTTGTGGTTATTTCTAGCAGTGTGTGCGTCGGGCGCCGTCTTGTCACTGACCTGCCGTGCCGGTGCAATCCGCGATAGTGCAGAACACGACCCACGCCAGGAGCCACAGGAACGCCGTCCTGCAACACGTCGTAAAACATGTTTCGTCGCCCTGCCACCGTCAAACCGAAGAACTCCACTGTGGCAAAAAGCTACGGAAAATTCTGTAAACAGCTTGTGGTAATTCTCCGTAGGCCCCTTATCAATATTCTCCGTAGCCTCTTACAGTATTTTCTGTAGGACCGCACAGTATTCTCCGTAGGACCCACAGTGATCTCCGTAGGACTATACAGTCTTCGAGGTCCTACGGAAAGACTGTGCGGTTTACGAGAATACTGTGCGGCCTACGGAGAATACTGTAAGAGCCTACGGAGAATATTGATAAGAGGGCTACGGAGAATCCTGGCAAAAAAATTAACAGGATTTTCCGTACCTTTTTGCCACAGTGTCCACACTTCCTGGTGTGGAGTAGCTAATTCTCCACACTTGAACGTGTGGAGTTTGCAGTCTCTATCCTTCTCAAGACCCTTCTTAAGTGGGAATAGCGCTCTCTCTCTCTCATAGGGCCCATATCTCTTGGCAGGGTGAAAACGTGAGAACTCCATACTTGAAGTGTGGAGGCTGCAAAACTCTGCACGTCCAAATGCGCAGACTTAAAAATCCGCACCCCTCAAGTGTGGAGTACTACTCTTAGTTTCACGGAGAAGCTTCCAAGTGATGCTCACCAGAGGGCGACGCTGTGCCGGTGGTGGTCTTGCCGGCCGTGGCAGAGCTCCGGGTCGACGCCGAGGTGCGCCTGCAGCCCGAGGGGCCGCGCCAGGGCGCGCAGGGGCCGGCCCAGCAGCGCGGCCAGCGCGGCCAGGTCGCCGTCGTGCCGCGCGCAGCTCTGCGGCACGCACACGCCCCAGTGGAGGACGTGCCGCGGAACCTGGAAGCGGTGCGCCGGCGGCTGCGGAGGAGGCAGGAATCGGGTAGTTCACCGTCAAACCAAGAGTGTGGAGAACTCCACGCTTCCTGGTGCGGAGTAGTGCTCCGCTCTTGGACGTGTGGCGTTTGCAGTTCCCACTCTTCAAGTAGCTCCAAGGGGTTACCCACTCTGGTAATCGTGTGTACACTTCGTCCGGTAATCATTGCACTGAGATTCCAAACGCTATGAGTATAGCACGTATGGTGCAATGCGCTGTGATATCGCACCATACGTGCAATGCCACAGCCATATTGCACCTTTGGTGCAATGCTTCCCGAAAAGGCCCTATGCTAATGCATGGGAATTTGGAGGCATTGCACTTCATGTGCAATGCTTTTGTATTGCACCAATTGACGCTATACTCATAGCGTTTGGATTCTCAGTGTGGTAATCACACACCAAAACTGGCTAGTTTCGCCGTTTTTATCGGATTTTGGGGGTTTTTCATATGAAATTAGGCCAAAATGCTCTTAGCTGGCCAAAATTATGGAGTTTTTTTGAGTATGTATGTAGGTAATCACTGGTAATCAGTAATCCTGTGTACACTCCTGAGCTGAGTGGTCAACCCCTCGAGTAGCTCACAGAGACCCTATCTCTTGGCATGGTGCAAACGTGGGGAACTGCGCCCTTGAGGCGTGGATACTGCAAATTCTCCGCTTTCAAAGTCCGGTGGCTGAAAACTCCACACGCCTTTCGCACTTCCAGTGTGGCGTTCTCGGCTGTTGGTTTTTCAGCGAGGGCTGAGCTTACCTGGTAGACTTGCCGCGCGCTAGCGGCGCTGGCGGCGCTGGCCCCTGCATGCCCTGCATGCCCTGCAGGCGCGGCTTGGAGGCGCAGCGTGGCGAGGCAGAAGGCGCCGGCCCCGCTGGCCGGCAGGTCGTTGGCGGCCAGGCACTCGTCGAAGTTGCCCATCTGCCAGAGTTCGCCCCACAGCGCACCGCGCGGCGAGCGCACCGACGAGTCCCACACTGCGGCAGCAAACAGAACAGTCTCTGTCTCTCTCGCACTCACGAGACGTTCTTTAACGGTGCGAGAGAGATTCTCCGGAATCGTTCTGGATTGCGAACAGTGCTTTCATCCCTTATCTGTCCCACTGCGCGTGGACTATACTCTCTTCCTCACAGGGTGTTCCGATATCCGTTCCGAACAGGGCCGGACTGGCTCATAGAGGGCCCCGGCAGAAAATTGTCAAAAGGGCCCCTGCTCTCCCCTCCTCGCAAGTCGAAATCCTCTAGATAAATTTGTTACGACAACCCTTGTGATTTTCCCTGACTTCTGAAATTGTAGAATTGATATAATTACCCAGGGTTAGTTTCTTATGCTAGCAGCAAAACATTAGCAGCGGAAACTGCGAGCGAAGCGAGCTTTAAAATTTTTCTAATGCAATTTAAATTTTCTTTCAAATGACGAAACGAAAACATGCATATCTTTTAGTAAGCTGGTTCACAGCAAACTAAAACATTGTTGCAAGTTTTTCAGGAACCGACCTGGACCTGCTCGGAACTCATCGAGCTGATGATAGATTCGTTTCACGCGATTCCGCATTACTATGCGAGCGAAGCGAGCTAAAAGCCAAGGCCTATTGTGTGTTCAAAATGCAATTCCTGCCAGTTTGTAAGGGGGCAGCACTACGAATTAAAGGTATTTCGGGTCGATTTGAGGCCCAGCGGCCACAGAGGCCTCGCAACTGTAAGTTGGGGGGCCCGACAACGCCGGGGCCCCGGCATATTTTTCTGCCCAAATGCCCTGGCCAGTCCGGGCCTGGTTCCGAATGGGTGCGAGAGAGACAGGGCGATGAGGCACTCCAAACAACTCTGAATCAGACTTCCAGAAATTATCGCCCAGGCCTGCCAACTCCAGCGCCCACGGCCCCGGGGATCTCGAAAGTTGAGGGGGGGGCGCTGTGACTTCACATCGCTGACCTGCGCAAGGAGGCAGCGCGTCTCGCGGTCGCGGTGCTCGACACCTTCCGCTGCCTCCGCCTCTCTTCCCCCTCCCCCTTCCACAGTGGGCCAGAAGACCGGCGGGGGGCGGTCAAAATCCCGGACGCGTTTTGAGTTCCAGAGTCGCTACATGTGACTCGAACCCCGCTCGAACCGAACGTGTGATCCCACCAATGGATTCCCCTCCGAACGAGGAATCCATTGCACAGTAAATGTCTTACGGTGAAAGGCTGCACCAACATAATATGGTGGAGATTTTCTCCATAATACGAACGAAATTCGTCAAAATCTCTATAAGGTACAGTGAATTCTCAATGGTATGTTACGAAGTCAGCTGCACCACCATATTATGGAACATTTTCACCATAATATGGAGAATCTCCACTGTACAACATTTAGAGTGTGGTGGGACCACACGCTCGGTACGAGTCCTGTTTAGCGACTCTGGAGCTCAAAACGTGTTTACAGTTTTGGCCGCCTGCGCCGGTCTTCTGGCCCACTGTGCCTTCCTCTACTGTACTCACTCTGCACGGCCCACGACGAGAAGTTCCTGAGGCCCTGCAGGTAGGCGTCCAGGTCGCGGCGACACTCGTCCCGATGCGGCAGGCCGCTGGCGGGGGCGGAGGCCGCGGCCTCCAGGAGGCGGAGCAGGTCCAGGTCGCGGAAGAAGGGCCACAGGGAGGCGTCCCCCTCGTGGTCGTGGAGGTCGTGGTGGTCGCGGACGGGCTGTTGGCGGTCCGGTGAGCGGGCCGATCTACGCCACACGTCCGCGTCGACCGCGCCACACGGCCTGGGGAAGGGACATTGCAGGAAATAACCACAATGAAAGTACACATATTTATGGCAACTTTTTTTTTATCAGGAATTTAGTGTACTTTACAAGTGCAACAATTGTTGTACAAAGTACAATGGAACCGGCATGACAAGTGCTGTGCGGTCCAGGGCTCGTTGTGGTTTGTACAATTCTCGTTGTACTTTCTACAGTCCCTGTTGTACTTTTGTTGTACTATCTACACTTTTTCTTGCAGTGGACAGACAGCCGCACACTCGAAAATGAAAGGCGGTGATGTGGCGGTAGTCTCACCCTTTGCTGGTGGTAGTTGTGTCTTGGCGGTGCCCAGGTTTTACCACCTAAGAACGGCAGTTCAGATTTTACCGCCTTTGCAACACCTTGTGCACAGCCAATAGATTCGCAGTGTAGGTCCGCCCTGTTCAGCCGCGGCTCTTTCCGTTCGACGCAATCTGCACCTTCAAACTGGATTTCCATAGGCAAGGGTCCCACTGCCTGCTCCGGCTCGACTGCAGATTGATTCCTAGAGTCCACTTCGTCGCTCCGTCTCTCGCGCACCTCTACGGGACGCCCCATGAGTGCGAGAGAGACAGAGCGACTCTGGAATCAGCCCGCTCTCGGCTCGGCTCTCGGTCCCCAGGCCCTCTCGGCCCGCGGCGAGGCGCTCTCGTGGGATTCGAAGGCGAGCCACGACAGGGCGAGACAAAGTGGCTTCGTGCCGCCAAAGTGACGCCACAGCGGTCATGTCGCGTCATGTCGTGTCTCGTCTCACTTCCGCGCCGTGGGGTCCTTCCTCCCAAACCAGCAGACTGATTCCGAGAGTCGTTGCTCCGTCTCTCTCGCACCCATACGGGAGGCCCCATGAGTGCGAGAGAGACAGAGCGACGAAAACGACTCTCGGAATCGGTCTTCTGCTTTCTTCCCTGCCTGCAGTGCAGCCCACGCGGCGCATGCGCCAAAATCAAGGGACCCCTCACGCAAATGATTCCGGTGCCTGCACTGTGCAACCAAGTGGGGAGAACTTCACACTTTTGCAATGCGGAGGTGTGTGGAGTTTTCAGTCTCCGCACTGGGAAGTGCAGAGTTTGCATCCCTCACTCTTCAAGCGTGGAGTTCATGCGTCTGCAGCATGCCAAGAGGTAGAGGCTCTGCGTGAGCTACAGCATACTTGCAAGTGTGGAAACGGCAAACTCCAAACGTCCAAGTGGGCAGCCAGTGTGGCGTCCTCCGCACTCGGTTTGACAGTGCACTGTAGACGCCCCGACCTCTGTGCCTCCGTTTCGTGCACACTCGATGGACTTTTCCGGCGGCGGTAGATTCGTTCCGTTCTGATGCGTGCGTGGACGACGCGGACGTCGTGGCGTCCCTGGCTGTATTCCTCTAGACGGTCCTGGTGACAGGATAGGTGCCTTTTTCTGGAAGGAAGACTTTGTGACTTGATGTGGCGTCGACGCGGCGGTCGGGCCATGCGACACAATGACGCAATCTGCTTCATGCACCCGTCCGAGGAAAAAAACGGTCCCAGCGTTCGACTTGGCTTCCGTGCACGGACTGCCCCTCTAGGCCTGCCTCTCTCTAGGCCTGCCTCTCTAGGCCTGCCTGCCTGCCTCTCTAGACCTGCCCCTCCAGGCCTGCCTCTCTAGACCTGCCTCAGTCGGCTGATTCTGAGCACTGCTTTCGTCGCTCTGTCTCTCTCGCACTCATGGGGCGTCCCGGAAGGGTGCGAGAGAGACAGAGCGACAAGCAGTGCTCGGAATCAGCCCGCCTCTGTAGGCCCGCCTCTCTAGGCCTGCCTCTCTAGGCCTGCCTCTCTAGGCCTGCCTCTCTAGGCCTGCCTCTCTAGGCCTGCCTCTCTTGGCCTGCCTCTCTAGGCCTGCCTCTCTAGGCCTGCCTCTCTAGGCCTGCCTCTCTAGGCCTGCCTCTCTAGGCCTGCCTCTCTAGCGCCTGCCTGCCTCTCTAGGCCTGCCTCTCTAGGCCTGCCTCTCTAGGCCTGCCTCTCTAGGCCTGCCTCTCTAGGCCTGCCTCTCTAGGCCTGCCTCTCTAGGCCTGCCTCTCTAGGCCTGCCTCTCTAGGCCTGCCTCTCTAGGCCTGCCTCTCTAGGCCTGCCTCTCTAGGCCTGCCTCTCTAGGCCTGCCTCTCTAGGCCTGCCTCTCTAGGCCTGCCTCTCTAGGCCTGCCTCTCTAGACTCGCCTCTAGGCCCGCCTCTCTAGACCTGCCTCTCCAGGCCTGCCTGCCTGCCTGCCTCTCTCTAGGCATGCCCAAGTAGGCCGCCCAGCCGCAGGCGTGTCAGGCATGCCTCAGCGCCTCGCAGGCCGGCTCAGCGGTCGCAGTGTCAGCTCTGTCTCTGCTCGCCTCCCACGGCCGCCTCCTGCGTCAGAGGCATGCACGAAAGTCAGGACGGTCGCAATGAGCGTCGGCTGCAGCAGGAGGCTCGCGTGCCTTGCTGCTCGCGAAGGCTTGGTGCTGCGAACGCTGCTTTCGTCGCTCTGTCTCTCTCGCACGCACGGGACGCCGCGCAGGGCCCGCAGGGGTGCGAGAGAGACAGAGCGACGGTGCGCTCGGTGCGCCGCGCGGAATCAGCTTGCTGGCTGACTGGGATTAGGTCAAGAGCAAGCCGGCCACTCGGTGCACTCGGCCATTCGCCTTCACCTTCGCGGCGCCGCCTCGCCTCCGCCTTGCCCTTGCCGGCCTTGCCTGCCTCCAGTGCGCTTACAGTGTGCTCGCCGCGGCGAAGACGAGCAGCGCCTTGGGCAGCCTATGCAGTCAGAGCCCACACTGGTGTAACACATCACAAAAGCGCTTTGCTTGAAGCGTTCTGTCATCTCACGCGCTTTTCTTGAAGTGTACCTCGGCCAAGCTCCCTTTATCCCCACTGTTAGAAAAAATCTGAAAATTCAGACCACTTTTGCCAGACTTGGTGGTCTGAATCTATTTTTCAGACTTGTTTCAGACTGCTTGTCTGAAAATTTAGCCTTCCGGTATGAAAATTGCGACCTGATCGTCTCAGAACTTGAATCAAGACCAGCGCAGTCTGAAAATTGAGATGATTAAGTCTGAAAATTCAGACCAACCCAAGATTTCGTTTGTCCGCTAGATGGCGCGCATGTTGTGGAACATACCTACTTCTATTTAAAAGGCTTCTAATGTGAAAATATATTAGTTGAAAAGTTCCAAATTGACAAGACTTAATCGGCCATATGAGAACCATTCTCTGCTGCAAGATTTATCTCCGTAATATGGGTGGGAGTTGAACAATCCACATTTTAATTTACCTCTCGCGGGTGACTCCGTGTCGCCATTTCCTTGGGTGCACTCTAAATGTCTTACGAAGAAATTTACCATAATACGAAGGAAATGGCGCAAGCATAATACGAAGGTGGTTTTTCTTCGTATTACGAAGGTTTTTCTTTGTATCTTACAATGAAAAAGCTAAAAAGATTCGTATTACGAAGTAATAATGCTTCGTATTATGTTTGCGCCGAATTCACTGTAACATACGAATAAAATAGGTCAAATTTCATTGTAAGACATTTAGAGTGTGCCACAGGCCGGCCTCCCGAGAGGCAGGGAAAAGTGCAGAGGATCTTCTCTCTCAGCACAATTTTTCACTCAATGTTGTCCTCTCTGGAGGTTCACACACACCTGAGATTCTGTCTGTCATATTTAACGTGTCACGAACCTTTCAGTTAACAATTTTCATACAGGACTGAATTTTCAGACCACCAAAGTCTTAAATGTAAGACTCTCCAGTTCTGAATTTTCAGACCATCTAAACGGTCTGAATTTCCAGACCTCTCAAGTCTGTTAATAACTTCTGACCAATTTAGTCTGAATTTTCAGACTTTTTTTTAACAGTGCCTGCCTCGCTTAGCCCTACAACGAGAACTGTGCATGCAAAAGACAACGAGGCCTGGACTGCACTCGTCATGCCGGTTGGTGTGCGGTCTAGACCACCTTTGGTGTGGTCATTGCATGCACTCCCAATTCCCTACTGAGAAATGCCGTGCAGTCATAATGCTGAGCTTATTCTCAGTACTTTACGGCACAAATCTATCATAATACAGAGAAGTTTGTTCGTAATATGAAGAAACTTGTCACCTTATTAAGAACTCTTCACCATAGGTTACTATCCTTGCTGCGCAGTCAAGCTTTTTGCTCGTATTACGGAGAAAAAGCTCAATAGAATGGGAGTGTGGAAAGGCAACACGAAACGTGGCCAAACGTGGTCTAGACCACACCAACTGATGCGGTCAAAATGGCACCCATTTGACCACACCAGAGGTGCGGTCTAAACCACGTTTGGTTTCACAGTGCAGTGCGGATTTTAAACGAGCTACAAACCACCTTTTTTAAATTACAGAGTGCCGGAGGGGGCAGGCAGGGGCAAGTCGTGTCATTATTTGCCCGAAAGCAAAATGTCTCATCTTTGCGCAAAACCGCCGCGCGGGGAAACAGGTGTCACGGGTTATTGGCAGGGCACGCCTCGGCACGCCTCGGCACGCTGTGCACGACACTGTAGCAGACGTGACGGCGGGAGCCGCCTCATTCCGACCGCAAGGGCGACTTTCGGAGAGAGGAACCACTCGGGCGTGGCAGAATGGCGCCCAAGGACACACAAACTGGCTATATGTACTTCATTGTACGTATATAAGAGACGTAAGAAGAGACGTAAGACGTAAGACTCATACGATGCATACCATTTCGTCCGTATTACGTACTAAACTGGTAAAGCTAAGGCGTCACAAATACCATCACACACTCTACTCCACGTTCTATTGCACATAATAAAGCAATGTGCTTTCGTGATTTTTAACGGGGAGGCTATCTGCACTACTGCACTCTCTTGGACTGCAAGCCTCACAACCAAAATACTGTTATTTTTCACGAAACTTTCCGGCGGGTGTCCTCTTAGACAACAAACGCACAGTGGGCCAAAAGACCCAGTGGAGAAGGCCAAAATAGACGCTTTTTGAACTCCAGAGTCGCTACATTCTAAATGTTTTTGTACAAATTTTGTACGAGACATCACAGTTTTTTGTGCACACGAACTTTTCGTACAAATCTGTGCAAAATTTTGTATAATTTTTTACAAAAATGGCGAAAAAGGTGCAGTTTTCCGTACAAAAATTGTACGAAAATTTCGTGTGCACAAAAAACTGTGATGTCTCGTACAAAATTGTACATTACATTTAGTGTGTAGGACTCGAACCTAGCGTGTGACCCCACTCATGGATTCCTCGTTCGGAAAGCAATCCATTGGTGGGGTCACGCGTTCGGTTCGAGTCCCCTTTGTTGTCAAGATGTGAGCGAGTCAAGACGTAAGCGTGAACTGTTTTATTTCATATCCGGAAGAAGGCTCTGTGACGACATGACTACCAGCCTAACTATAACTATACAACACCCTTTAGCGACTCTGGAGCTCGAAACGCGTCTAGAGTTTTGACCGCCCCCACCGGTCTTCTGGCAAATCCACTGTGCGGCGGCGTCGCGGGCCATCGCGTGTTAGCTTCTGCGCGTCGTGCGGTGCGGTGATCATAAACCGAACGTCGCTCACGGTTGTGGCCGATCAACAAGGAGTGTGCCCGTCCCCAAGATTACGTGTCTAAAAAGCGGAGAAAATGACGAAATTGCCCCTCTCCTCTTTTTGAAATGACACTCAGTATAAAGCGAGGGGGTAACGCGGGTAACGACTGGTAAATTTCGTGTCAGCCGGATTACGGATTACCCCGGGTTATCCCCAAATTACGTCCGGATTACAACCAAAAAATTCCTGGATTACCCCGGATTACCTCCCAATTTGCTGTCAGCCGGATTCCCGAAGTCGTTGCCCCCTCGGTATAAAGAGCATCGCTTAGGCCAAAGGCGGGGTAAAGCAGGTAAAGACAGCCCCGCCAGCCGAATATTTGGCAATTCCAAGTGGATTACGCTCTCAAGTGTGTACCAGGTGGTCAGGAACCCCAAGACTAAATGAGAGGTATGCATTCCCGTCAGACACTGCTCCTTCCAGGGCAGAGGAGAATGGTGAGGGCATGTTTGGCGACATACTGTACCTCTCATTTTGTCTCGGGGTCCCTGGCCCACCTTAACATGCTTCAGGAGTGTACATACCGGGCATACTCGGGGTGAAGTGTACATATGCAGGCTTGCTTCAACCTGAAGCATGCTATCACTGCCTGCCAAACCAAATGTGAGGAACTTTACGGCTCCTAGTGCAGAGAAATTATCCCCACTTGAACGTGTTGGAGTAGCTCACAGAGCCCCCACTTGGCACTGTGCAAACGTGGAGAATTCCCCACTGGAACGTGGTGGAGTAGCTCACAGAGCCCCCACTTGGCACTGTGCAAACGTGGAGAATTCCACACTTGAAGTGTGGTGACTGCCAGTGCGGTGCGGGGGCCTAAAATTTCGCACCGCAGCATTACAGGTTTGTCGAGTGTCTTACTTGTCGTGACAGTGATGCGGTGCCGGCCCCTGGAGCACGGCGTCGTGCACGGGCACGGCCGGCAGTGGGTCCTTCGGCTCCTTGGTGGCGTTGTCGCTCGCTGCAGCCGGCAGCGGCGCGGCCAGGATGCAGGCCAGGACGATCATCCACGTCGCCACACTGCTAGGGCGTCGTCTACTCGGCCCACCCGCGGCGGTGGCCGTGGCCAAGGCCGTGGCCATGCTGGGCAAGAGGACCACCTTCCCTGAGAGCATCCGCGTGCAATCCGGTGGCGGCCTCGGCGGCCTCGGCGGTCCTCCCGGCAGACAAGTGTAGGCGCACTCGGCCTGACTCGGCCTGTCTCGGCCGCTCTAGGGCTCCAACTGCCGCAGCATGGTGCGGAGCGGTGCGGACTGCGGAGCCGCGGACAATCCGCGAGAATCCGCGACTCGAGACCGCGACGTCGGCGTGGCGCCGGTCTAGAGTCTAGGCCTGCCTAGGAAGCAGAGGACGCCGCCGCCGTGGCGACGCGGCGGTCAGGGAAGGCCCGTTCGCCCCGTGGGAAGGGGAGGGGGAGGGACCTTAGTGGCGGGCCAGGCAAGGTAACCGGCCTTAGGGCCACGGTGGCCACACATATACAGGGGGGGGGGGGGGTGATCTGCATTCCCCCCCCGTGATGTATGCAGCAAGCATAGCATGACATGACACTCCGCCCGAAAGTGGGCAAAAGGTATGACATGCCCTTCCAGCAAGCAATTCTAGAGCCGACCCGGAGGGCCCTCCAGGGCTAGAGCAGGTATAGTAGTTCCAGGACGATGCAGGGGCCTCACCGGAGTCTCAAAGCACACGACGTGCGGGTCCGACGGCTGGGACCTCTCGCTCGCACCCGTACTGTATTTTACGCCCTTCCCCCTCACTCTCTCATTGAGCTTTGGTCTTTTATCCCACCCTGACCCTTAAAAAAAAAGCGCGAACGCATCATCTCAGGAAGCGTGATAGCCATGGTCTCAAAGAGCAGGAGTAGCGCGTGGTTTAGGCACCCGCAAGCGCCTGCCAGCTAGGCCACCGGCCAGTCGCGCAACACACCAGTGTGGAGACCGTGGCCTACCTTGCCCCTGTGAAGATGACAGGGGCAAGGTAGGCCACCGTATCCATACCGGTGTGTTGCCGGCTGGACCGGTGGCCTACCTCGCAGTGCTACAGGTCAAGCGGTGATCATGGAGGACATGAGAAACAGGGAACAGGCCACAGCATTGGAACTGAAGCATTCGCCGTGTTGTGTTGAGGTAAACATTGGCCCGTTGGAGAGCTTTGCGCGCCGGCAACCGGCTCGCTGACACTGTGAAACTCCGACGGCCTGAAAGTGCTCCCAGTGTGCCTTTCCTGTTAGTGCAATGTCATTCGTAATTCGTGTCTGGGAGCACTGTTTTTTTTTTTAGCAGATGATACCTTAACACATTCAAATTATCTTTTTTTTAAAAAATTATTTTACAAGCGTCCCCGACACCCCGATGTCTTCGGCGACCTCATTTTTACTAAACAAAGATTGGATTTTGCAGTTCGATGGGTACAAGTTTCGTGAAAAACACGCGGGGAAACGGGAAAAGACGATCTGCGGTGGGAGGAGTAGGGGTTGTTGACCTCGCACTTAAATTTAAGTATCAAAACGACCTGTGAATTTCTCATACACTGTCCCGCTGTTCCGGTTCGTTCGCTGCGTCGTGCTCCGGTTCGATCGCACAAGCCATCGTGCTTGGCTAGAAAGAATTCAGGGAAAATGTGTGAGTAGCGCGTCGTGAAACAGAACTGAAGGGTAACTCCAGCACCCGATGGAAGACTCAACTAACTAAACTGACGGCCGCATCCGCGAGCGTTTTCCGGTTGCGTCTCTCCGAAAACTCCGAATGGAAGAAGAAGTTAAGAGGAGGAAGGGAAAACATGGCGACCATGTAAGATTTGTGCTCGTCTTCGTCCTCTGCATTTTCAGTTTAATAACACAACACTGTAACAATGGGCGCGTGAAGATAATGCAAACAAAAACCGCCAGGAGCACAATTTGTGTCCGGGTGGTTTCAAAGGTACGTATTCGGCTCCTGAAACTAGAAATAGTGAATTTTGTACTCTTCATTTGGCACTCTCCCCTCCCCTTCTCTTGGACAATTCTATCTACGACGATTCATTCGACTGCTGTGTTTAAACTATGACTTTGCAGACGAAGGTACTTATTTGTCATCTTCATCGTTTTTATCTGGCCATTACTTTTTTTTCGTCCTTAGCCATCAAGCTCTCAATTCTCTTAATAGATACCATGACCGAATTCCTGTGAATGGTTATCATTTTGGACCACTCCACTGTTCTTTTAATAATTAAGGAATTCTTGACTGCTTGACAATTTTGTACAGCGTGGAAAATTTTTACAATGGCTGGTTCCATTAGCTTTGTGGAAGAATTCTAGTGACTTAAAGCAAAAATACAAAATGCTAAAGAAACAAAAACAAAAAACAAAAGGAGGTGAACAGATGTCACTTGGGATGACACATTTTCTCCCTCCTTTGTATTCTTTTACTCTTCTGCCAATCTTCTTTGCATATTTAGTTCAACTAAGTACCAAGTGCATTCTAAAATAAGCTTTAAAGTGTAATACCACCCATTCTGCCTTTTGTTTTACCTGTAATGATCTACCACACATAGATTAAAAATTGTTGTAGGCCTTATTTCATTTCAAGCTTATGTCAAATTATTTTCCTCTTTTAAGAAAAACATTGTGGTTGCTTTCTTGCTCTGTCTCATATTTTTCTTGTCCAAATGTAAGGAGGCATTTGATAAAATGGTATTTTTGAATCAAAATGTGTTTATTCAGCTTCTTCCATTTTAATTGTTATGCTTTGTTTTACAGTTTTTTTAATTCATATAAAATCTGATGGTCAGAAAGGAAGGCAAAGTAAAATGTACATCAAAGGAATTCGCTGCCCGGTTTGTGCTGAACTCCTGCAGAAAGATGAATCCCTTCATGACCATCTTAACACGCACCCTAAGGAACAAGTTATTGAAGCATTGATACAACTGAAAGATGCTTTCAAGGATACCATTCCCTCCAGTTCATCTCAGGGACGAAGTGTTATTGCATCTAATGAGAGTTGTGGAGGCACTGAAGTTGACAGCCCGAGAGAGGTGGATGAAGTCTCGTTGGCAACTGATGAATCTAGTGAAGTAGATTCAGCAGGAGCCGTTGATAGTTTGGCTCCTGTAGCATCTTCTTCAAACCAAACTGTACGTCATCAAAGTGTACCTGCCACTGCACCAGCTGCTCACTTCATTCATGTACCTGTGGTGACAAGTGCTGGTGCTCCTTACAATGCAACACCAGCCCCTCCTACTCAAGTATGTGTCTGTGGTGTATGCCTTGTGAGTTTATTTTTTGTTGTGCCCTATTTTATCATCACATTTCATTGATTTCAGGCACCACTGATGCTCTTCAACCATTTCATGTGTCCTACCGATGAGAGTTCAACAGCATCAAATCTCCTGGAGGCAATTCGTCCATTGCAGCTTGTAAACAATGGCTCGAGACCACGATTCAGTATTATTCAAACTCGACCTCAGACCCCACCTCAACCAAGCCCTCAATGTCTTCCTCGAGTAAAATCCCAGCCTTCATCTCGTATAGTATTCCTACCCTCAAGTCAAACATTGCAGCGGCAAGATGAAATTGTTTCTCAAGAAGATGCAACTGAAGCTGTGAGAACTTCAGATACAGAACAGCTCGTCCATAGAAGTGAAACTGCTATTCGATTGTGTGACCTAACAAAGGATGAATATCACGATGGAGAGGGTGGCCGCTTGATTATTGATGAAGAGGTTGAGTCCTGTAGTAGCAGTTCCAACGCAACTCAAGAACTGCAAGTTATTACTGACCATCCATCTAGTTCCTTAACTGGACTCCAAACGCCTCTGGAAAAGGAAATGCTTACCCCTCCCAAGAAGCGAAGATGTCCAGAATGGAACGACTTGGGCTCCCCTGGAGCTCATTCCACAAGCAGTATAGAAGGTGTTCTAAGAGTCAGATCGGACCTCAGTATTTCTCCTTCACCTCTCCCATGTATCTCAGATGCTGAAGAAAATTCGGAAGAAACGTGAGTATTTTTTCATTGAAGGCAGTTTTTTCTTTCTCGTTAGGTAGTAATTCAAGAATATTCCAAAGTCAAAGTCCTGCTATGGACAGCAGAAAGTTATGCAGTTGTGACTCTTGCATTCAGTGCCTTGGACTTATTAGTTAGCACATGTTTATAAATACATACGTGCAACATTTTTCATAAAATGTGTTTTGAATAAACTTTAACTGATTTTGTGACTTACAGGGACTCCTCATCTATGAAAATCAAAATGGTGCTGCATGGAGCTACTGTAGAAAATAAAACCAAGCTTCATCTGTAAGATTTGTCTGTTTGATTTGCTTAACTTTTTGGCCATGATACAGTATTGATTGATTGATGTGTTATGTGTTAATTTTTCAGGTATAATTCAGAGAGAGGCAAGCATGTGATTGACAGCGAAGATCCTCCAAGTGTGATTGTTGGTGATGTGTCAGGAATTCCAAGACACTTGGCTGGAAACATTGACGCCGAGTTTCGAGATGAGTGTTCCCTTGGACGGCCAGGTTATTATTATTATTGTTATCTTAAATTATTTACATGTAGTTTTCAATGCTTTAAAATTTTAATTCCATGCTTTCAACTTATTTAGATTCTGGACCTTCATCCCCCCTTAATATTCAAACTGATGAGACAATGCCACCACGGGGCGAGTTATCAGAACAAGAAAGTATCGGAGGAAATAGTAGCTCTATGTGGTCTGTGGCGGTATGGTTCTTTCCTTTGATTTTTGTCAATGCTAGTGTGTAGTGTAAGCTGCTTTCCCCCTCATTCACTTCAACATTTTTCCCTTTCCAGCCTTACCGTACTTACCGAGAATGGCCTTCTCCAGTTGTTGCATTTGATTTGACGGCCAGAGAGAGCTGGCCTGGATCAGACTTGTCTGATAGTGAAGACAATAGCAATGTTGCAGAAACTGCAAAGTTCTCAACAACACCTTCATTTTCCAATACACTGCATCCGTTCCTTCAGAAAACATCCTCAGAAACTGAAAGTAAGTTCTCAGAAAATTTCCAACTTGCTTATGCTTAAATAATCAACAAACTGTCATCATCTTGAATTCTTTTGTTTTTACAGGTCTTTTCTCCTCCCACCTCCATCCACAAAATCATAGAGATATCCAAGAAAATGATAAAAATGCTAGCTCAGTTTCTAGCATTGTGAAAAGTCCTAGAAACAAGGCGGTTGACCTTGCCTCTTCAGCAGAAAAAGTCAAGAAGGCCCCACCCAAGCCTCGTCAGTTCAGGTGCAAGGAGTGTCCTGAGATATTTAGCTCCCTGAAACTTAGAAGACTCCATCCCTGTGATCAGAGGAAGATTACAACAACTGTAATGAGATTGGACACCGAGATCAAAGGAGCCAATGAAGGGAACATCATAGCTTCCACATCATCCTTCCAAGAAGGGGAAACTTTAATCCCATTAAAACAAAAGAAAAAATACCCTCGTAAACCAAAAGCAACAATCAAGAATGAAGTAATAGTGAAAGACCAAGGATCATCAAGCTTTGATGTTCAGTTCCGAATCAGTAAGACTGAACCTGAAGACACAGCTGAATCAAAGACTAATCCGGAATCCTTGATAGATTTGCCGGCAACTACTTCATATCAAAGCTCCACATTTGAATCCACTTCATCAGAAACACGTATAGATGCATTAACACATGGTGTTCTCCCATATCAGTGTCAAAAATGTGGTGAAGTGAGTTATTTCTTGTCTATTTCACTACACAAGTTCTCTGTTATCCTAATCATAGTCTTTCTTTACCTAATTTACTTAACTTTATCATTGCATATCTTATTCATAGGTTTACCACAGTGCTAAAGCTCTGTCTCAGCATTTGACCAACAAGCACAAGGTGTCAAGGTACCAATGTGCCACTTGTAGTGAATCATTTCAAAAGGAACAAGGTTACTTGGAACATCTTGTTGTTCACCCATTGGAATGCCAATTGTGTGGTAAAACCTTTTTGAGGTAAGTTATCTTTGCAGTAAAGCCCTAGTTGCTCATTACCTCATTGCTTCATTGACTAGCTCCTTACATTTTCAGACGAAAATACTTATCTCTTCACATGAAGTGGCACATGGAAATAAAGCCTCACAAATGCCAATCTTGTGATAAATCATTTGTAACAAGACAGAAATTAGATGAGCACATGAATACGCACACAGGAAACGCTCCAATAACGTGCTCTACATGTGGAATGGTATTCAAAAGATATTCAAATCTCATACAACACCGAAACCGACACCATCTCAATTTGAAGCCTAAAAAGAGAGATTATGTGTGCCATTGTGGACAGGTATGACTTGTATCAGATTGTCACGACACAAACATTCTATGACTGCATATGGATGTGGAGTCTATTGTTTCTGTGTTTGTTCTAGGTTCTTCCATCAAAGAAAAAGTTTGAATGGCACAAAGAAATACATGACGAGAAACCAAAGTCTTGCCCTTATTGTAGTGATAAGTTTGTTCACACTATGAGTTTAACTCGCCATGTTAGGAGAGTTCATGATACTCGTTATGTTCCAAAGAAAGAACGAGAGGGAGAAAATGTTGAGTGTCCAGTTTGTAACCAGGTGTTTTTGAAATCATCTCTTAATACCCATTTAAAGGTTGGACCTCTTTCATATTAAAATTTTTTATTTTTGTTTGGTTGCACTTAAATTGAAATATTTAAATGATTTACCTATTTAAATTTCTTCCTCACAGATGCATTCTTCTTCACAACGGTTTCCTTGCCACATCTGTGGTAAAGATTTTACTACCAAGTGGAACTTACAGCTCCATCGTTGGATTCATGCAAGCCGCTCTTCTAGACCTTTTAAATGTACCCTCTGCAAGGCCGCCTTTGTAAGGAAACAAGATCACACTTCGCATATGAACTCTCATAGAAGTGTTCGACCATATACATGCAACCATTGTGGTTGTCAGTTCATTCGTAAATATAACTGTATTCGACACATGAGAGAACATGAAGAAACCAAAAACTTTGCATGTACTATTTGCAACAAAACCTTTCATCGTAATTATTACCTGACTGATCATATGAGGACACACAGCAATACACGGCCATTTACCTGTCATATATGTGGCAAAGCTAGTACCTGTAAGTCAAATCATAACCGACATCTTCAAATTCACCATGCCAGAGAGCCGCAGAATACGGAAATTTAATTTTAACCTATTTGTATAGGATGTTTTAAAAGTAGACAATTGCTCTGAAACTTGCCTTATACAGGAAGATTTTTTTTTTTTAATCTTCTTTTTTTTGTGATATGACTTTTTGATTGTGGCTGCTGTAATCCCAAAGCTTGATCCAATACCACTGAAGGATTAAGCTCTTTGTTCCATCTAATTAAATCAAAATATTGCTAGGAAATTCTTCTTTTTTCCTAAATGAACCTTTAGCTTTTTGACAGTTTTACTCACTGTAGATAGCAGTAGTGGGCCTGTGTTTTAGGCATTTATTCAATGCCTATTCTAATTGTTTCTGAAAGGCATTCTGCATTGTGTGTGATTTGTTCAGATTGAGTTACATGCTTTAAGAAGTAATAATGGTACTTTTGTACCAGAAATCTTGTTGGTTTGGACTGTTTTTCTATTTGGAATTTAATGTGTTTGGCTCAGCTCACAAGGGAACACATTCAGCCCATGAACCTTGATTTTGTTCCAAATTTAAATTTATCATTGACTAGCCTTAAATTGTAGATTGATAATGCACACCAAAGTTGGTGCTAGGGGAATTTTCAACCCCTCCCTCCCCAATGTAATTGTTTCCTAGCCTAACCTTCCATCCTTTAGGCATAGGACATAATCAAAGCTTCCTCCTCTCTTCCTCCTTGGTGATTATGTAACATGTGGACAACCCCTAAGTCACACCTTTTCCCATTTTTTTTTTGAAATCTTAAAACAGGGTAAAATGGTACTTGCAATGCCATGTCAACAGCATGCTTTTAGATAAATTAAGAAGCTGTATAAAAGGGGGGTATGGGCTGGATATGTTCCCTTGTCAGTTCTAAATCGATTTGTGTATCATGTGTCGTTGCCACAGGGTAATACTTTAAATTCCTTTTTGTTTAATTCCCCACGTATATTGTGGAGGTATGTCCTAAATTGAGCATATTTACCATTTTATTCTTTCTCACTTCCCGTCCCAATTTCATTGAAATTCAATGGCTCCTAATTCATGCTACAATTGTATCACATTTTATGCTGTGATTTAAGTTCTTATTATTATTCATAAAAATTTTAGGGTAAGAGCTGTTTTTATTGTAAAATGTGATTATTTTAGTTGTACAACGAGGAATTTTAATTGTGCATAGTAAAAATAAGTGTTCATTTGAAATTTGAATCTTGGTGACTACTGTATGCCCTTGTTATTTTGTTCCTCAACTTTCATTGAAACTTCAAGTTAGTTGATGCAAAAAATTATAAATGTATTGTGTATATTTCTAGCTGCCAGAAAATGGTGTGTCTGTATTCTGAAACAAAAACAAACTAATGTTGAATTTATGTGAGGGGCCGTCCATTAAATGCGTTTGGATGATTTAAGGACTTCGCCCCTCCCTTCTCTCTCCTCTTAACTTTACCATGTACAGATCTTCTGGGCTCTTATGTATTTAATGGACGCTCCCTGAAGAGCTGACTACTTATTGTATGAATCCATAACTGTTTTAATTGGTCTTTTAAACTTGTTTTGTGTACTGTACAAAAAACAACATTTATATAGAGATGTTTTGTTATTTGCGACTTGTACTCTTACATTAAGGCAAAGTCATATTTTGAGAATATACATGCAACCAATTCTCAAAACTTAAAGCACATCTTCTTTTAAAAATAGCATGTTGAAGAAGAGTTCTTTGGGCTTAAATTAGTGCTTTTTCCCTATTGGTCAACTTGCTGTAATTGAGGAACATGCAAGTCTTTAAATTTCAAACTTTATAGCAGGACAGAAATGTCGAGATGGTTGGCTAAAGAGTTACAGATACACTTAACTGTGCCAATTTCAGAGCCGTCACAGCGTTTTTTGATGGCAACAGACTTTCGTGAATTTTCCGATGTGGCTTGAGATGTGGACCATTTTAAAGCCATATTTTCTGTCACTGGTAAAGAAATTGAGCGGTCGGTAATAAGATAGTAAGATGGGGTACTTAGTTAAAAGTTCAAGTAGTTTCCGACAACAGAAAATAGTCGTAAGGTCTTTTACAATAAAGCGTGTTTAGAAGCATTTGAGCAACCTGTAGCACTGTGTTTTTTGGTGTTATGGGCTCAGTATAATTTATTTGAATATTTATGTTGTTGTTCCCTTTGTTTTGTGTTAATTTCTTGAGACGTTTAAAATGTTCCACCCAGGTCTTGTCAAGATCTGCTTTGTTTTCATGTGTGCAATGCGTGAGGTCTAGGTCGATTTTATGTCATGTACAAAGGTGCGGTGTAATATCTATAAAAGACTGGTAGTTTTTAAACCATCACAAACTGAGTTAATATAGTGCAGACAAATACATGCGTTTGGTGGTGTTGGAACCAAAGGCTAAGAAGCACCGTAACTTTGATCAGCTGATTTGCATTTGAAGGGATCAATGTTTTCTCTGAAGAAGTGAGTTCAAAAAATTGTGATTCTGATGTCGATGTCTCCCAAAGTGTATGGCCTGTCCTGTTTTTAAGGTGCAAGGCACTATATATTTCCAGAGCTGATAAAAAGTCCCACTTTATAGTAGAATGATGATCTCTACTAAGTATTTGCCTGAATTGAAAACCAAATCAATATTTTTTAATTTCTTTACTTTCTTCTGAGCTTTTCACATTTTCTTCTCTGATTGACATCAATTTCACAAGGTCAAGTTATTTATAATTTGTCATTATTTTGCTCTGTATATTTCTTAGACAATGATTGGAAATTTAATTTTAGTTGGTAATTTGACTTTACTACTATGTAAGATTTCATTTTAAGAAAATAATATGTATAGACAAAATTGATTAAATGTTCTAATTACAAAAATACAATTTGCTGTCTGCATGTTTTCCCCCTCAAGCAAGCTTCCTTTCATAATCATTATTATTATTTATAATCCACTAGATACTTTGTGACATTAAAGCTTAAAGTCCTGCAAAAGAAACAAAAACCAAATCATAACCAACATGCTGGGAAAGCACATTTTGAGAAATAAGATAAACTGCACAACTTGCAATAATGGACAGTAAATGAAAAGGCTTACTTGGCAATAATGACGATGAAATCAAATCCTACAGCACACTTGTATTTGGGTGTTTCTAATGGGTCATTCCCCACTTTCAAAAGAAGTTGGAGTTCAACTAAACTCGTAATCTGAAAGTAAGATAATTTCATTCAATTTAATTTTACACTCATTAAAATAGTTCAAGATGACACAATAAACAATTAAAGAAAAGAAGATTTTCCAAACCTGTGTCAACAAGTTCACAGATATATGTGGCTTTTCCTCAATAATGGAATAAAATATGGCCAGAAGTCTTTCCAGATCAAATTGACGTGGACCAACTACTAATGAACTTATTTTAGTTTGAGTATTTTTTGTGCTTTTCTGAACTTTCTTTTTTGTCCGCCCACTCAGCTTCACAAAAAGTTTCTTGTCCTCTTTAGGAGAATTGTAAGATGCCAGAAATGCAGCAATAATAAGGTATTTCGCATAGTACGGCAATTCAAAACTAAGAGCAAATTTTGCTGCAGAGGACAAAGTGCTATGCTTGTCCATAGGCTTCATGAGATCCATATCAGATGAAAGTTTCCTAAAATGCAGGTAGTATTACCAACAGGTGAAGCACATTTACATACATTCGAGCAAGTGTTTGAAGAAAGTACTTACTCTGTTTCAAATCTCATGTAGATCAATTGTAATGAGGTTTTGAGATGAGGTGATATGTGTTTCCACAATCTTCCAGAATCATTCATATCTATTTCTCCTCTGAGAATTGGTTCACAGTACTTTGAAAAGTTTTCAGCTGCCTGTAAGTTGGAAATTATAATATGCTTTACTGTACCTGTTTTAATAAAGCACGTTTTAACATGAAACCTCTTAATAAATTCACTCTGAATTCAGAACCATAGATTTTATCTTTAAGTAATAGCAATTACTCCGTCAACTCAAGGGTGCATGAACATGTACATTTGGGGATGTTCAGGAGCAACTTCCTTTTTTTCTTTTTCAGAGTGAATGTGTTATTGAAGATATGACCTTATAACGCAATTCTGTGATGTCACGACAAGACCGCAAAAAGACAGCCACAAAAAGCTGCAGATAATTGGAATAAAAATCGGCTGGGTAGTCCTTTGGTTTATCTAGTGCCAGTATTTTCAAAATATCACCTGAAATAGATAGAAATGCAATGATAGAGTTCTTTCTTATACATAATCAACAAACTGTGGAATGATACTGGTATATGCTTACTTTGAGAATACTGTTGGAAAAATATTTGAATTGGAGGAGGTAAGCCACCCGGTGGAATGTATTTATCCCAAAGAACATCACTTACAAGAACAACACAGACTTTTTTCAAGCAGCTCAATTCTTGAAGCTGCATGAGGGCTGGTAATAAATTAGGACTCATATCTCGTAGTTTTTCACTACCTTCCAAGACCTGAGGATACAAATAGGCTAGTTAGCATGTTCATTCATTCTCTCTAACACACCAGACACATACATAACTGACTAAAATGTGTAAAGTATTAACTCACAATAACAACGACTTTGTCATGAAGATTCATTTCATCTGCCATGACCTTCAACGAAGTTAAAAACTCCATGACATCGTCACATTTGGAAGTTGGAGGTAAAATTTCACCTACAACAAGCATTACAGAAATGATAAATTTTAATGAGATAATTATGTCATAAAAACCTTGAAGTTCAACAGATTCATGGTCAAAAACATTGAAGGGCTAATTCTGAGTTTTCACTTACCTTTGATTTGAGATAAAATAGATTCAAAAATGAGGCGTGGTAAATAGCCTTCAACACAGTTGACAGAAGCATAATGGACCTTCAAACCATCAAGGACTTTATGAATTGTGTAAGATTTACCACTAGATTTGTGGCCAGATATGAAAATGCATTGGGGGATGCTTTCTTCTGGCTGATAATAGGATGGCAACAAAGAGAACAACTTGATAAGATAGAAAGGCGGCAGAAATCAGTTTAGTTATCTTTTTTAAATGGCAAGGAAATTTTTAGGATAATCCGTCACAAGCACATCAAATGAATCAAGTGAAAACTTTTTAACTCACTTGTCCCAGTAACGAAACTAGCTGCTTCACTTCACCATTTCTGCACAGAATGTCAAACGAGCTGTCCAATACACCCATGTCTATGAAGATTGAGGGCTTGGTAATTCTCAGAAAAGGTTGAGACAACGAGAGGTTAGAGAAATGTTTACATTTCTTCAGACCTGCAAATAAGGAAAACAAGAGCCGAAGGAGAACAGATGCAGGATGAACATTGCGGGAAGAGCCACAATAGTAAATATTACGCCAAAGCCACGGAAGAGTACCTTGTTCCAGATTAAAATTATTGACTTAGGGTGTTGGGACTCGGAGATCCCGCCACGCTATTTTATTTTGCCATTGGCACCAACAACTGGACAGTCAATGGACTATCTCCTCTTGTTTCAATCAAACGTGACAGAAATACGTGAAGGGATGGATTTTAAATAAAAACAAAGGCACAGAATCGCGTTTACATTTCCTTTCCATATTAAGACCAAACTTCCTAATTTTATGACTCGTTCAAGTTCGGTCTCGGACTTTGGAGGTTGGCTACGGACGGCTGTTCTGAGGCGCCTTGCGGCTTCCGGTTGTACTCGGCCCGCGTCGCGCTTGGGCTCTCGCGTTTTTCGACGACGGCTCGGCTTCATCATTGAAGAAAATGGCGGATGGCGTGGATATTGATTTGTACGCCGACGATTTAGAAGAAGGTTTTGGCCAGGTAAGATCTTGAAGTTGTTGTCAAAGTTTACCTCAGTGAGCCCTTTTCACCAGCGGCCTGAATTTATCTCATATTTCCACCTTGAAACTGTTTTTGAGGCAAGGTGATGTAGCCCTCTGTACGAGGTTGGCCTTGCCGGCATAGTGAAATTTTGTCGCAATAGCGTCACTTCACAAATAAATTCCAGAGGTCGTACTTATCTCCCGTTATCAATTTTACATTTTTTTACCCTTGTTTGTGTATTTATTTCCTTACTTTCTATTTGAGCATTTTCTGCGAGGGCTAAGCCTTCAGTCACACCTACCCACAATAGAGAAAAATAACACAAGTTGGCGTCTAGACCGGGTTACACATTTCCCGCTGTTTTACCTCGAATCCTTGCTTGGTGGCGTTGTTTCTTGTTTAATTTTTATTGTGGTAAATGGTTAGGCCCTGTGTAGCCCTTGTTTACTTTGGCTCCATGGACTAGGTTATGGGGTCCGGTTTCGTTCCATGGTTGGTCGTTGAGTATAGTGCTTCTGGAGGACTTTTTCCTCATTTCCAACCCTATTGATGGATTTCTGAGCTCTATGCCCAGTGCCTGTTTCCTGATGCCGCGGTGTCGAATTTTTAAACGGAGAGCTTTTGAGGCTATGCCACCATTGTTGTTATACCTTTTGTTATCTCTTTAATTTCAGCAGGATGAGTTTGGCAATGATGGTGTTGATCTCTACGACGATGTGATTGGAGCACCTCCAAGTGGTGGAGAGGGTGAACCTCCTGCTAGTCAGCAGCTGAACACAAGCAGCAGCAGTTCGGGCACTCCTGCCCAAACTAACGATAGGTCTCCAAACAATGGAGGTCCATCCTACCATCATGGATCTAATAACGTCCAAGCCAACCATGGTGGAAGACGCTACCAACTGTATGTTGGTAATCTTACTTGGGTAAGAACTTACTTGGCCGGAATAAAAATAATCACTTAGTCTTTCTGTTCAGTCCTAATCCCTGTATATTGTGGCATTTTCTCTCTACAGTGGACAACTGATCAAGACATTACTGAAGCTGTTCTTGGAATTGGTGTTAACGACTTCCTGGAGGTTAAGTTTTTTGAGAATCGAGCTAATGGCCAATCAAAAGGTTTTTGTGCCATTTCTCTTGGGTCAGAGCAGAGCATGCGTATGTGCATGGATCGGTTGTGCAAGAAGGAACTACATGGACAGTGTCCCGTTGTGACTTTCCCAACAAAGCAAGCTTTAAATCAGGTGTGTTTAAATTGCTTTTCCTGTGTGTATTTTTAATACCTTCCTGTGTTTCGTATCTTTAGGCATCTCTTGACACTTGGTTTCTCTTGCAGTTTGAGTCACAGTCCAAGACTCGTCCCGCACCCACTCCCAACTCAGGTCATCACCAGCAAGGCCCCCATGGCCCTCGCGGCCCCCACGGTCCTCATGGACCCCATGGCCCGGGCGGTCCCCGCATGATGATGGGACCACCACAAGGGATTCGGGGACGCATGCCGCCTCCAGGCATGCCCCCACCAGGCGGCCCAGGCGGTCCCCGCATGCCAGGCCCCATGGGGCACCAAGGCCCTCACCAGGGCCCTCCCAACCAAGGGCCACCCCCTGGCTTCCAGCACAACAATTGGAACGGCCCCAGGGCCAATGGCATGTCAGGTACAGTGTGTTTCTCCATTCATGTTGAATTTACCAACCCTTATCCAATAACTATTGAGTCTCACTTTAGGACCTCCGCCAATGGGGCCGCCCCAACAAGGTCCTCCTCCTCAGCAGCAGAGACCTCCGCCAGGCATGGTTGGCCAATACGACTATCCAGTGAGTATACTAGTTGTCATCAATTCTTTTTCAGCCTGTGTCGTTTTGTCCAAGTTCTTTTGTTAAGTTGTTGTTTTTATTTTAGCCCTTCCAGGTTCCGCCTCCAGGGCAAGGCCCGCCTAGAGGTCCTCCTCCTGGGCCTGGTGGACCAGGCGGTCCAGGACCAGACCAGAGGGGACCACCCCCACGCCCTGATTGGAGTAGGCCACCAGGTAAGCACGTTTATCATGGTAACAGGTGTCTTTACTCTTGTACTACATTACAGACTCATCCTCTTCAGAAATATTTTGTGATATGGTTGAGGGGTGCAGACATGAAACGGATCAAATCCATTTCGTTCTCATTGAGCACATAACACTGAAAACCTACCAGCAGTTATTAGTCTAAATCTCGTTCCAAATTATTTTTTATTCGTGTAATATACTTGTCAAAGTGTTTTATTTTACATTTGCAATCTATCTATCTCAATGACTCGGGCTTTCTCTACATCAGAGCATGCTTCTCTGACCTGCATGGGTGTCTAAAATTAGTCAAGAAGTAACTCATTTGTGTTATTATCATCATCTTTAACATCACATTAACTCTGGTGTGGTTGGGATTGGACATCACTCTCATACTAAACAGTCGAAACACGCACAACTGGCTATGCAGTTGACATTGGTAGATCGGTAGTTTGACTTATTTACTAGCCAATCTCGGTGCATTTTGTGTCTGTTGACAGGCATGCCCCATCATGGGCAGCCACAGGGATTCCCACAACACCAGCCCCCACCAATGCAAGGTCCACCCCCTGGGCAGGGTCCGCCCCCCAGGGGCCCACCACCCGGCCAGATGGGTGGTGAGTGATCGTGATCCTGATGCATCTCCCATTCCCAGTCATTAATTAATTATGATGGCCCATATATAATAAAATGTGTTTTGTTGCGTGTGTGAGCATACACTTGTTAGTACAGTATGTATGCTTCCTGTTGCAAGCAGAGTAGACATCTGTTTTTCATCACCTAATTTTGTGCATCCCTGCTGTGCCTGTATTTGCAATTCAGTATTTTCAATTAATCCACCTTATAATTTCTTTAAGTTATTAATAATATAATTTTTTAAATGCATGTTTTTCTTGTTACTGTCTGATGTAGAGAATGCAGTTTGATACTGTGTTAACAAGGTCAGATAGTTTATTTTTGTTACACATAATTAATGGCTTAGCTTCTGAACTTCACTACATTACACAAACCATCTTCTCATTTGCTTGTCTGTCACTTTTTAATTTTGCTGTAACTGCTGTTTTTTGCATGTTTTGACCTGTGATTCTTATTTGATGCATATCTTTCGTACTCATATAGACAAAGGGGCTCTACCCTGGCATGACCCACTAATCCTTTTGATAAATAAATGTTCATTTCATCGGTCTTTTTTCTTTGAATAACTATTACATCTGCATTATAACTATTTTTGAAGATTTACTTTCATTATATGTTCCAAAATATTAAGTCTATGAATTCAAAAATATTTTTTCTAAGATTTTATCTTGCGAGATTTGCGTAGAGAATCCATCCCTCCGTGTGGCTGATGTTGTCTCTTTCTGTGCAGGCCCTGGAGGCCCCCCTCCTCCTCACGGGGGCCCCCCACCTCAAGGCCCAGCTCCCCACGTGAATCCGGCCTTCTTTGGCGGCCACCAACCCCAGGGGCCGCCCCCACACTCCCACCCCGGACACCCCAACCACCCTCCCCACCCTGGACACCCCAACCACCCCGCTCACCCAGTGCCCCCTCAGCAGGGCCCCCCGCATGGCCCTCCTCACGGCCCCCCTCAGATGCCTCCCCACGGACCCCCCCACGCGTACGGACCACCGCCTCCAGCTACCCAGGTACGCGGCTGGCCCAACAGTGACCGCGTAAGTTTGAGTTTTTTTCTTTCTGCATATCTTTTTGCAATTAAAAAAAAATGTTTCATTTTGATGGCTTTGAGTGATTGAACTAGTGTGGCTTCAATTTAACAGGCCTAAATCCGCTTTGTGGGTGCCTAAACCGACATTCTAAATTTTTTTGTCGTGGTCCTGTAAGAGCTTTTGATATGACTGCCATTTAAATATCTGTCATCTTCAAGTATACTTGTTTCAACAGTCTGTTGAAACAAAAAATAAAAACAAAAAAAGGTTGTTGTAATTTCTTATTGTGACTGATGAGACACAAAGGGAACTTTTTAGCCTTTCAAACTGATGGTCTGTGCCAATTGTGCCACATTTTATCTCGATCACCAAAGCCTTACCTGCTGCTGGTTTTCTCTACCAGCACAGATGTTAGACGTTGTCTCTTCATTTGCCTTTCTTTTGTTTTAGCCTCCGTATGGAGCTCCCCCACCAGACCACAGACCCGATGGGCCTCCTCCTATTAGTGAACCTGAATTTGAAGAAATCATGGGTCGCAACAGAACAGTTTCTAGCTCAGCTATTGCTCGAGCTGTTTCAGATGCTGCTGCGGGTAGGAATTTGGCCTTAAGTTTCCTTGTTCAGAACTGTAGTTGCACTGTGTTCATGATATGTGTCTTATTTTCCAGGTGAATATGCAAGCGCAATTGAAACACTAGTGACAGCAATCTCCCTCATCAAGCAGTCCAAGGTGGCCAACGATGACAGGTGTAAGATCCTCATCAGCTCCCTGCAAGATACGCTTCATGGTGTGGAGGCCAAGAGCTACGGCTCTGGCCGTAGAGGTGCGTTAGCCTTGACCTTTTTTAATAACAAATTTTCATTGCAATTGTGAAATGTCTGACCATGGTTTTTTTTTTTTTTTTTTGTCCCACAGAACGCTCCAGATCTCGTGACAGGGATCGGCCACACCGCCGCCGTCGTGAGAGGTCCAGGAGTCGGGAGCGCGAGTATCGCGAGAGGAGCCGCGAGCGCGACAGGGACAGGGAGAGGGACCGCGAACGGGAGCGGGACAGAGAGAGGTAAGTTGCTGTCGCTGTGATGTTTGTTTTTTGGTTTTTTTTTTTGTATGCGGTGGGGGGGGGGGGGGGGCTAGATGTTTGGTCGCCCGACTCAGCTGTGACTGGGTCATGGTTACAAAGGTGTTGTGGCTGCCAGTAACTCGTGAGATTTCGATTACAAAATGTTGGCGTTTCACACTATTTGCGATTTGTTCATTCATTCCTTTAAATACTACGAGAGAGCTAAGTCGAGCGGCTCTTGGTGCAGCGGAATGGGTTGACATTCTGTTGTCTATTTTTATTGTTTCTGAACTGAGCCGGAGCCGGCATGGAACGAGTAAAGAAACGACATTGGAAGCGAATCGAGGTCTCTTTTTCTGGGAGCTGTGTTTGTAAATGGGCTGAACCTTCCTGTGTGTTGATACCCTGTCTGAGTTTTCTCGAGGTTAATCTTTGTGGGAGTGGTCCGGGTTTTCCTTTGGATTCATTGGCTTGCAAGCGGAACGACAATTTACTAGGAATGTTGTTTATTGCTGCTGCATCATTTGGGCGGGTCACGACGCCTGCTCGTGCAGCGCGGGGGCGCTCAATTGCCGAGCACCAGTGTGGGCTGCACCTGCGGGACCTGCTGGGCCTGGCCCGAGGGCCTCCTCTGGCGGCGAGCGTCGGGACGGGGCAGGCGGGGACGGGACACCCTCACGGCGGGCTCTGCGCTGAGGACGGCTGGCCTCGCGTTGACGGCTGGCTCGCCGTGGAGGACGGCTGGTGCCAGGACGCTTGGCCTCGCGTCGACGGCGGGCTCACCGTGGAGGACGGCTGGTGCCAGGATTGCTGGGCGGGCGGGGCGGGCAGGGCGGTCCACCACGCTAGGTCCCCAAGGCAGGCCGGCGGCTACCTGACGTTGGTACGAGAGAGGGAAGTAGGGCACGGGGCGGCCGCCGCGGGATCGGGATCCGCGGCCACGGGCGGCGTCGACGACGAACGGGTTGTACTGGGGAGCGACCCCAGGGTGGGAGAGGGCGTAGGGCAGCTGCTGGTAGACGACGCCTTGGCTGGCGGGCACGGCGTGGCTCACGTAGCTGACGGGCACGCTGTGGCCGACGTGGCTCACGGGCACGGCGTGTTTCACGTGGCTCACATGGCTGACGACGGGGGCGTAGTGGTGGTACACCACGTGGTGCTGCTGCACGGCGGGTGCGGGCACATTCCACCACGATCCGTGGCCCTGGGGGCCGGGGAGAACAACTGCGGGACCTTCAGGGCGAGGACGACGGGGGCCAACCGGGCGGCCAGGACGGGCGGGTCGCTGAGGCTTTTGGGGCTTCCAGGACCAGTTGTTGCGAATCCAGACGTCCTTGTCTTCCTCTGAAGACGAGGAGGAGGACGAGGAGGAAGACGAGGAGGAAGACGAGGAGGAAGACGCTGAAGACTCAGAGGACTCGGAGGACTTAGAGGACTTAGAGTCGTCTTCGTCGCTGTCTTCACTATCATCATTTGCAGCAGTGGTCGGCTCCTCGGTAACCACCTCGGTTGTCGTAGCGTCGGTGACAGTAGTAGGCTCGTCAGTGACAACCTCGGTTGTGGTAGCGTCAGTGACGGTTGTAGGTTCGTCAGTGACAACCTCGGTCGTGGTAGCGTCAGTGACGGTTGTAGGTTCGTCAGTGACAACCTCGGTCGTGGTAGCGTCAGTGACGGTGGTAGGCTCGTCAGTGACAACCTCGGTCGTGGTAGCGTCAGTGACGGTGGTAGGCTCGTCAGTAGCAACCTCGGTTGTGGTAGCGTCAGTGACGGTGGTAGGCTCGTCAGTGACAACCTCGGTCGTGGTAGCGTCAGTGACGGTGGTAGGCTCGTCAGTGACAACCTCGGTCGTGGTAGCGTCAGTGACGGTGTAGGTCGTCAGTGACAACCTCGGTCGTGGTAGCGTCAGTGACGGTGTAGGCTCGTCAGTGACAACCTCGGTCGTGGTAGCGTCAGTGACGGTAGTAGGCTCGTCAGTGAAACGTCAGAACCTCTGTGGTAGCGTCAGTGACGGTAGTAGACCCCTCTGTAGCGGCCTCAGTCGTGGTAGCGTCAGGTGACGTGTAGTTGATGTCATGACAACCTCGGCTGGTAGGCTCGGTGGTGGTGTGGCAGCCTCAGTGCATGGGGGTCGTCTCCGGTGAGGCTGTCAGTGATGTCGTGCAGTAGTGACTTCGGCGTAGTGCGGCCTCGGTTGTGGCGGCCTCAGTCGTGGTCTCCCCGGTGACGATGTTCACGTTGTATGTGATGCCAGTGTCGACTCGGCGGCGGCCTCGGTGGGGGGTGGCAGCCTCAGTCGTGAGTCTCCCCGGTGACGATGTTCACGTTGATGTCGATGCCAGAGTCGACTTCGGCGGCGGCCTCGGTGGTGGTGGCAGCCTCAGTCGTGGTCTCCCCGGTGACGATGTTCACGTTGACGTTGACGCCGGTGTCGACCTCGGCGGCGGCCTCGGTGGTGGAGGTGGCAGCCTCAGTCGTGGTCTCCCCGGTGACGATGTTCACGTGACGTCCGGTGTCGACCTCGGCGGCGGCCGGTCGTGGTAGGTGAGGCAGCCTCAGTCGTGGTCTCCCCGGTGACGATGTTCACGTTGACGTTGACGCCGGTGTCGACCTCGGCGGCGGCCTCGGTGTTGGTGGTGGCAGCCTCAGTCGTGGTCTCCCCGGTGACGATGTTCACGTTATTGACGCCGGTGTCGACCTCGGCGGCGGCCTCGGTGGTGGTGGCAGCCTCAGTCGTGGTCTCCCCGGTGACGATGTTCACGTTGACGTTGACGCCGGTGTCGACCTCGGCGGTGGCCTCGGTGGTGGTGGTGGCAGCCTCAGTCGTGGTCTCCCCGGTGACGATGTTCACGTTTATGTCGATGCCAGAGTCGACTTCGGTGGCGGCCTCGGTGGTGGTGGTGGTGGCAGCCTCAGTCGTGGTCTCCCCGGTGACGATGTTCACGTCGATATTGATGCCTGTGTCGACCTCGGCGGCGGCCTCGGTGGTGGCAGCCTCAGTCGTGGTCTCGCCGGTGACGATGTTCACGTTGACGTTGACGCCGGTGTCGACCTCAGCGGTGGCCACGGTGGTGGCAGCCTCAGTCGTGGTCTCCCCGGTGACGATGTTCACGTCGATATTGACGCCGGTGTCGACCTCGGTGGCGGCCTCGGTGGTGGTGGTGGCAGCCTCAGTCGAGGTCTCCCCGGTGACGATGTTCACGTTGACATTGACGCCGGTGTCGACCTCGGTGGTGGTGGTGGCAGCCTCAGTCGTGGTCTCCCCGGTGACGATGTTCACGTTTATGTCGATGCCAGAGTCGACTTCGGTGGCGGCCTCGGTGGTGGTGGTGGCAGCCTCAGTCGAGGTCTCCCCGGTGACGATGTTCACGTTGACATTGACGCCGGTGTCGACCTCGGTGGTGGTGGTGGCAGCCTCAGTCGTGGTCTCCTCGGTGACGATGTTCACGTTTATGTCGATGCCAGAGTCGACTTCGGTGGCGGCCTCGGTGGTGGTGGTGGCAGCCTCAGTCGAGGTCTCCCCGGTGACGATGTTCACGTTGACATTGACGCCGGTGTCGACCTCGGCGGTGGTCTCGGTGGTAGCAGGCTCAGTCGGGGTCTCTCCGGTGGGGATGTTCACGTTGACGTCAACGTTGATGCCAGAGTCAACTTCCTCGGTCGCCTCGGTGGTGGTGGTAGAGTCGGCACTTTCGGTTGTGTCCACCACGGTTATGTTGACTCCAACGACGGCGCTGTCTGTAGACGCATCGGTGGTGTCTTCGTCAGTGTTGTCTTGAACTGTGACGTCGCTTCCTGTGTCTTCTACCGCAGCCGACACTGCTTCGATGACGTCCTGGACTGAGTCCTCATCACCTGTGACCTGATAAAATTAAATAAGTTGCTGGGTTCTTTTATGGTTCTCTTTTTCTCTGTCTTTTTCTTTTCTTACTTGAATGTTTAGGCCGGTATCGCTGTCGGTAATTTGAACCGTCGTCGTATTTTTGTCGACTTCGATTTCATCTTCTGCTGCCGCAAATACAATAGTCTGGATTCCAATTCTTCTGGCTAGTTCTCCAAGAACACCTCCAAGTGTAGCGTTGGCGGTTGTGAGGTGGTTCTGGTCGACTAGGATCAGCCGTACTCCTTCACTCCCATGTGTTGGGAGAATCTGCAGCATAACAGTAATTTTTTCCATTGCATATTGGGCTGTTTATCATCGACGTTAATTTCTTGTACTTTTACTTACCTGGACTGCACTGAGTACGAGGAAAAATCCGACCAGAGCAACCACAGGCCTGGCCATCGTACGTTGCACTTGCTGCCAATGCAATCAGCCTGAGCTCAGTGGTTCCCTATATACTTGTTCACCGGCTTTGTTTGATCAGTTGGCTATGTTTGTTTGGTTTGCGTCTTTTACTGCCTTGATCTTCACTTCAAGTCATGGCTTGTAAGGTTTCTTTGAAAGGGGAGAGGGGAGTTTGTTGATTTGTCCTTTTTTCCTTCTTTTTTTTTCCTCTTTCCATTTTTGTATCTGTCTCAAAATTGTTGGACTTCTTTCCAATGTCAGCAAGGCAAAAGAGCATTGTTTGCTTCTTTGGTTGGACTTGCATTTTTCTAATTTCTTTCACAATTAACAATATTTAGGGTGTAATTCTTTTTAATGTGTTCAATTTGGTACTTTCCCATTCAGAAGTCCTGGTCAAGTAGCTTGTGTCTCTTACCTCAGAACAACTCTTTAGACAGTGTGTCAACACAGCTGTAATTATGCAAACTGCCTCAGAACTGTTACTGCGTCATTCACCTGGTACTTCTGAAAGATATTGTGTTTGGTTCCCTTATTCTTTCCACGGCTGCTAAGCAATGTACTCTCAGTTCAATCCTGTTGCTTCAATTATTTTTCTTTGGTTTCAGGTACTACGCAGAGACTTACTCCAGAGATAGAGCAGCTGAGAGGTCCAGGAGCCGTGACAGAGAGCGCGAAAGGGAGTACAGAGAACGCAGTCGTGAAGACAGGTGAGAAAATTGTTCAATCTGTGGTGGTGGCAGAATTAGCACCTCAGGGAAGCTTCTTCATACCAAAACTTGTCAAATTTCACAATTCTTGTGAAAATCAGAAAAATTAAGTTTGGGTTTCCAAATGTAGGGCTGTCGTATCTTATCACTGATGGTATTTTTGGTGTTTTTACTTTGTGTGTGTGCGCAGTACAACGCGGCAGACTGTTCGAACCCGCGCCAAGTCTCCAGAGGTCCCTGATGCTGGACCCATTGTCAGCTCAAAGTCGAGGTGAGTGGTTCCCTACAGGAGTGGGAAAAGATTGTCTTTGTCCATCTAGCATGCATGATCGAATTAAAAGACTTCATGCGATGTAGAAACTTGTTGGACTACAACTGCTAACACTCGGATCTTCTATTTGCAGATACTATGATGAACGCTACAGAGAAAGAGATCGCGAACGAGAGCGTGAAAGGGAGAGGGACCCCACTGCACGCAGAGAGCCTGAGAGAGAGAGGGAGCGGGACAGAGAGAGGCGGGAGGAGAGGGAGTCCTCCCACAGGAGCTCCACACGCCATTAGCGGCGCATTCCAGACACAACACCAGTGTGGCTCTTCAAACAAATTTACTTTTGTTCTACATGTTTTTTCCCCCCATGCCCGTAACCTGCTTTTGCTCAAGCAAAACTGTTGTAGACTTTACCTCTTTTCTCCTATATTGACTATGTTCAAATCAGAAACCAATAGTGTGCTAGATGATTATTGCATTTGTTGTAAGCTATTTTTTTGTTTTTAATGGTGATGTCAAGGACTTCGACTCATGAACATCAACTCTACTGAAATGCCACCAGAACAAGAGGAATGTCTACTTTCTGGACATCATCAGCCCAAGGCGAAGTTCATGAAGTTGCTTACAACAGAAGAAGGAAGAATGTAATTTTTAACAGAACACTGGCTTTGGGTAGAATCCTTACTATTGTTTATAGGGATATGTAATTATTTTCAATGAATTTGCACATTTATCTGATCAGGTATTCTGTAGTGTGGCTTTTTCAGTTGTGTGACTGAGGATGCCTTTTAATTTTATGACTGCTAACTTTTATGTAGAACCATTCAGTTTTATGAGTTGCTTCTTTGAATAAGCCAGATGTTCTGTATACTGTATTTGTATGGTGTAATGATTAAAATGTGAAAAACAGGGTTTGTTTCATTACTGTAGAATCCCTGCCATGTCCTGCTACAAATGTTTTAATTTTATTTTGTGAGTTCTTTGGTGCATTTGTGAACCTCAGTGTAGATGGGTGATCTAATGTATGGTGCTTGTTATTTTATTGCTGGCAAATACTACCTCATCTTAATCATATTAAAAAATCGTAATGTTGATCAAGGATTTCACATGTGATGCTTTGCATAAGTTTGATCATAAGCTCCTTTTAAAAATTTTGCTAAATGTTGATTTGACTGATTGTGACTGTTTGGTTTCTCATAAATCATTGTGTGATCTTTTAAAAAGCAGTCAGTTTGTAGAATCCCGATTCTTCGTCTAATATTCTGAAGTCCATTTTGCAATGTTCGTCAAATACTATGTATGTTCCTTGTTTTAAAAACAAAACATGATCTTTTGATCTACATATGAACTGTGATGCTTTGACTTTGCTAGTTCAGTTAATGGTGTTACTGGTCCATTGTTTTGAGAAAGCTTTCAATCATCTAATTTTCTTTCCAAATGCAGTTACTTGTTGGAAGTGGTTTGTGACTTGATTAACTTCCTCAATTCTATCATTATTTTCTTTACTAATGTCAGAGGAAAACAGTTTTAAACTCCTGAGCTACTGCCAGTTTTATTTATTTATTTATTTTATTTTTTGTTTGACACGTGTCTTTTTTTCCCACTTATGTTTTGTGACAGTTCTAGTCTGTGGTCCCAGTATTAGTCATCTCAATCAACTCGCACACATGAACAGAATTAGTGCGTTAAAGTGTTGTTAGTGGGAAATGAAAATATTTTTTCTGTTTCTTTCAAAGCTTTCAGTGTAAAGCTAAGCTTCCAAAAATCTTTTAGTCGGGTTTATCTGAATCTTTGGACCCCAAAAATGCAGTTTTATCAGTCTTTCTATGAATCAGTACTTTGCAACTTTGTTGATAAGTCAGTTTGTCTCCAAAAAAGGCAGTTTTCTTTTCTCCAAGTAACTGCCTGTTAGACATGTCCAACACATTACATTGCTGGGTGGTGTTCCTGATAAAGCAATAGTGTAGAACCAAGGAGACCTTTTATCGTTTTTGTGATGTCCATTACCCATGATTAATTTGTGATGACGAAGTAGTGGGTTTGATTAATGTTTTAACAAATACCTTTGATGTAAATTCGTTTTATTTTTTATGCAGTTTATGAGCTCTTTGCTGAATATGTGGACTTGCTTGAAATTATCACAAATGTTGGTCAGTATCAAAATGAAACGCTAAACCAAGAGTAGCTTAACTGCATTTGATTTAAAATTACTCTCTTCTATATGTGCACTGCTCTAAAGTAGTTTGGCACTAACAACTATCCAAAGTGTTCTTTGTATCTGGCAATTATCTGTTCAGACCCACTCATATAATTTCCAACACATTGACTAAATTCAACATAATGCACCTGTCACAATTGACGTATTCAACTAAATGTTACATGTTTCCCAACAGTTTTCCATCATCATGATCATGGATGATGGAATAACAGTGTTAATTATTGTTCCACTCAATTACAGAGAGTTGAGACTTGTTCTATGTCCCTCTGTTTTGTACCATCAATTTTCTTATATTTGCAATGGGTGCTCTTTCCACCTTTGTCCAAGCAGTGATGTTTATGAACTTAAAGATGGTTTTTACATTCAGATTAATTATAAGTCATTTGAGGCACTTACCTGACTGTACAAGGCATTATCATTTTATATTGGAGTTTGTATTACTACAGAATGGTCTGGCATCATAAAAACTCAGCTTGCTCTTTAAGTTTACTTTGGAATTGGCATCAGAATTGGTGTCCCTGCAGTGCCTAAAGATGCACCAGATCAACCAGAGAAATGCAAACTACACAGATTTACTCTGAATGTCAGGGAAAAACACCGCTAATCACAACTTATTTTCTGTAACTGTTTGTCCTGATGGTATTTATTACAGTGTTGTGGTATGTCAGGGGTGTGGTGGTCATTAGTGAGGTCCCACTCGCAGACGTTATCAAGACTTTATAACGAACATGTGTTGAGGTGAATGGATTGATGCGATGCCTTCTTCAAAAGTGTTTGAATGAAAGCAGGTATGTATATTTCTTTATAAGTTGATGGAATGGTACTTTATTGTTTAAGTCTAATTCAAATGCAAGGAGGTGTATATCCATTTTTTTATCTATTGTTTTCTTCAGGATTCCTTGCAGGGATTGCTAACATAACATTGCATTTCAGAGCTGAGAAATGTTAAAGTTGTATCTTGAACTCTATCTAAAACTACCTTAAGGTAAAAGTTATGCCTATTGTCGATTCATTGAGTCTTAATGAAGAGAACAGCAAAGGCTCCCCATGAGCATTGCCCAGATATCATAATGAAAATTAATGTAGTAACTCTTGTGCTGATGTTAAATGTTCTAATAAGTTAGCTACCCCTGGTCTCTTGCTTTGGTTCTCGCACATCTCTATTTCTTCCTTCCCCCAGGATTATGGTCAGATTTATTTTGCTTAGTAAGATTCTCCCCACATTTGTTGGTTCAATTCTACTGAACCATATATTATAGTTTTCATTATTTTAAAATGGTTGTGTGGTCTGTCTCTGAAGATTTTGTTGTTTTGAACATTGTGGGAATATAAATTCCATTTTACCTCTTTTTTTCTTCTTTGGTCCCTGTAATTGTGAGGGGCATGGCTGTATTTGAAAATGTTTAAGTAAGAGATTGCCACACCTTAAATCTTGCATTTGTGAGTGCCAACAAAGTAGACAATACCCTGTAACTTTTGTCACAAGCTCATTAAGCAACCTGCAGTATTTTCAAATGTCGTAGTTCTTCCTCGGCCTTAAAAATTTTGGTGCTATTTTAAACAAACAAACACATTACTGTTGATGTGCAGGTTACCGTATTCTTTATTTTGCCTTTTATTGTATGTCTTCTGTGTGTGTCTTCCTCAATAGCTTTGCCCGTAGCTCACATCTCCTTATATTGTAAAACAAACAAGACAATTGTTACATTTGAGACTTACTGAGGTTCTTTGCACAGTCTGCGCTGCATTTATTTTTCTCAAACTCCCTTATTAAGGTGAACAGCTCTCCATAGCAAAAAACAGCAACAATTCTATATTCACAATTTATGACTTGTTCAATGTTGGAATATGGGTTTTTGCTTTAGTTTTACATTTCACTGTTTTGTCATTAGTTGGCCTTCCATTCCCGCCTTTTTTTTTTTTTCTCATTTTTGTTAACATTAGTTAGGTGTAACACAAGGTTTCTGGTCTGGTGTATATTTTGCAGAGTACATGAGAACCATTGGAGGAGAGACTTATGAATTATGACAGATTTATGCAATTGTTTCATCAATTCCTGACATTGTGTAACAGTGACCAGTAGCTGACAAATTTGTAGTTCTTAGAGTTTAAGATTTAGCTTTGGAGGCAAAGTAATAGTGCAAACAAATCATTTTTTTTTTTTTATCCTAATCTGTTTCACTAGTTTCCTCAATCCCTGTTATGTAAAGGTACTGGGTCAATAACTTCTCAAAACAAGGCAGTTGAAATTTCACTAGGCCATAACATGCCCTTTTAGAAGTTAGATTGTTGTGCAAGCAAGGACCAAACAAATGTAGGAAATGATTTTATCCTGCCTTTTTTATAATTGAGGTGTATTTCTCTTCTTTCTGAGAAAATGCCAGCTTCAACAGGTCTCAAAATGTATTTTTTCTTGTGCATCTTGTTGATAACGTCATTTTTTGTTTAGTTCATGTAACTGCCACTTTCTAATTATTCTTTTTACATTTATTACTTTTTTATCTGTACTGTGTCACTTCCCTTGTTGTAAAATTCCGTCATTCTTGCTCCATCATTAATCTCCATTCTGGATATGGTGTGAAATTGTGGGATTCTAGCTGCCGTCGGGCATCTCACTTTGCAAAGCTTACCCTCTCACGACCCCCATGGAAATTTTCTTCCGTGTAAAAGCTGTGTACCATTCTACTTTTTAAAAAAAATTGAAGGTACAACTATGCAGAGGAGCCTTGCTTTTTCAATTCTCAGAAGCATACTTCAATTCAACTAGTCACATTTAGACCTTTTTTTGCTCCTATTTTTATTTTGCTGCACTCTAATTCAAAATGGAGAATCAGATCTGATAAATCTTCAACTCAACTTTCGGTTTTCTCGATACAGCCTTTACGTGCAGTCTTGTTCATTAACTAAAGGATTGCATGTTACATGTTGCACATGGTATTCTGTCAACTTCTAACTTTTCATTTATTTATTTTTTTACAGTTTTAATTTTTCAGATTTTTGTTACCCTTTATTGTCTTCCATCCTATTCCTACAACTTCCTTGTGCTCGTAGTTGTTCAGCAGTTAAAACTCTGAAAACATTGTATTTGCATGCCTCTTTTGTTTGTTGCTTTGAAGCCTGCTATTTAATTTGTCAAAAGAGAAAAATCTTTCTTCTTTTGTACTGAGACTATGCTAAATGTGGGATGGTACCTCACCTAATCATGACGAAATTTTGAAAATGATGTAACAATGAAAGGATTATTTTGACACTTTCAATTGAGTGCAGGACATGCAAACATTGCACTTTTGCAATCAATGTAAATTCTGTATCTCGTAAACGACTAGAGATAAAAAAGTTATGCATAGTGATGACCCCATCTTAAATTAAATTTTAGATGGGGCATTCTCATGTATAACTTTTCTATTTCTAGTCGTTTACGTGATACAGAATTAACGTTAATTTCAAAAGTGTAATGTTTGTGCGCCCTGACTGAATGTGGAATTGGTATTCTGAAGACGATCGGGCAAACATGCACTTATGGTGGTTGAGTGTTAACACTGATCTGAGCATGCCCAAATTCCTGGCTTAATACATACCCACGGCTGTGACAACAGTGGGAATTAACTTGTGTTGTACGTATATGACAGGGATTCCCTTCTTAAAATCAGGCCGTACAGGACAAGCCGGTATATTTTAAGAATTTTTTTATTTTTCATAAACACTTGCTCACATGCTATACCTTTATAGTATTAAATTCAGGTCTGTTGCTTAGTTTATTTTGTTTCATCTTGCACCATATTATAACTTTAAAAATTCTCTCTCATTCTTATGCAATTGTGTCAGTTATCTCAAAACTTTGTTTTGACTTATTGTTTGGAAATGCATGCTTAATTGGTCGTAGATGTGAAGGTTCGGAACGTTGGTTGGTCTGAATATATGGCGACCCTCCACTGAATCTGCAAGGCATATTTTAAGTAAGGTGGGAGGTACCTGTGTTCAGACTATGAAGGTAATTCGAACCATTCAATAAGTTTTTGTTGTGAACTAACTTGGGTCTCAATGTAGTAAGGCAACATCCTCCCATTGTTAAAGTTGCCCTTCATTGCCCATCTTGCATGAGTCATCTTGCATTGTTGTGGGGAAAGTCTAGCCTCTTCAAATTTGTTGGGTCAGCATTTTATTTCCTCATGTTAATGTAGTCTGCACCTGTAATCCATCTTGTAACTCTTTCAGTCTCTCTGAGCTGTGTTTTAAGATTTCCTTTCAGGTTACATTAATATTGCAGGAAATGAGCCTGAGCTGAGTTGATTGATTTAATAAATTTAATTTGTTTGTATGTATTTCTGTTGCAGTGTGGAATGGTGATAGTTTGGTAAGTACAAACGCTGCAAGTAAGCTGGAGATGGTATTGATAATAAAGCTAGTTAATTCAGCTCAAAGCACCTCCACGTGCCTTATTATTTGGCTCCTTTTCCTATCCTCACATTCCAACTAAGTCAGTCACAACAGCAAACAGCATTCATAGGGCGAGCCATTAGATGAAATCAGATCACAAACATATTCCGTAAGTAAGGCTCGACCATGCTTTCACCGTCGTTGAGGCTCTGCTGGATGTTTCAAAGACAATGAGGTACCTGACCTGTTTCCTAGATCCTCAACAACGTTTCCTTCCCATTTCAGACAAATCTGAGATGACATATGTTCGTCGAAAAGAAAAAGTACATGAGTGTTTTTTAACGTCTTTGGCCAAAACTTTAAAAATGCTCAAATTGGGAGTAATTATGTAGCAGCATTTGCTAAATTATGTGAAGGTACATGACTACAAAGTTAAAGAATCAGACCCTACCTGCTCATGGTGAGGCCTTATGTTTCCTGCCTATATGAAAAGTAAACTCACGACTTTTCTCCTCTGAAGAGGCAAAAGAGTTAATCATCAGAGCCAGCAGATCCGGGGTTTGAGTCCAAGGGGGATTGATCTTTCTCACAGTTGACTTCTGCATAGTACCAGGGCGCCGAAACAGCTCAGATGGTTGTGATGTTTGCAAAACAAGCGGGTTCAATTGCCAGGGAAGTCCATATTTTCCTCAGCTCAGGCGAGGGGGGAACTCTTTTGCATCCTAGAGGGAAAGCTAGCCCTATACAGAGCGGCTCCACCAAGGTAGGCCACCCATTTGACACGCTGCCACAAAAGCAGCACTGCGGCGGAAAACATAAGCCACACTCTTGGCCGGGACTTGAACCCAAGTACTTCTATCCACGACCGACACCTCAGCCCACTGAGCCACCGAATCACTGAACCCATGTTCGTCTGAACTTGGACTGATGGTGCTGCATTCAAGCAGTCAACTGAGAAAATGAGACTCACGTTTAGCGAATGCTGCTACATTATTGCGCCAAACATCCTAGAAAAGGAAGTAAAGATGTTCTCAATCGATAGGGAATTTAATGATGCAAATAAACTGCGATATGTCTGGTTTTTGTACTTTTGTGCAGGGCTGTTTTTACAATTTTTGCATGAAGTTCCTGATGCTAATATGTAACCACAGATATGCCTGAGGAGTTAATAAATAAACAAATAAATGCTGTTAGCCACAGGTCCTTTCAATTCCTTACCTCTAACAAATTGTCAAAGTGAAACATTCTTTAACAATGATATTTATCACAAAACATAGAAACGTAGACTTGTTTCATGAAGTCTTAATAGTTAATTGTGACCAGAGTTATTAACTCTGCATAATGCAAACATGATAAAAATTATGTTCCTGCTCGTTTTTGAATTTTCTCAAGGAGGAGTTCCATACGGCCAGCCATTACTGGCTGACCCCTTTTGGTCTTCTTCTTGAGTTGGACGAACTTCCTGGTTTTTTCCTTTTTATATTTTTCTAAAGCTTCATCTCTTTCCTTTTTCTGAGTTTCCTTTTGAGCTCTCGCTTCAGCCTTCTCTTTTTTGCGTTTAGCTAATTCTTCTTTAGCCTTCTCATAAGGATTCCAGTCGCTGAGAAATTAGAAAATATTATCAGTCAGTAACTGTATCTGTTATTTTATTTCACTTCATGCAAACAAGAAATAAATTCAAGCAGTAATGCTGCAAGCAACAACAAAATTCATACCTGCGCCTCTTATTGCCAGGTTCTTTTGAATCTGATTTTCCCACAGGACCTTGAACATTCTGTCCAGATTTTTTGAGCTCTTTATAATATTTGTGAAGGGCTGACTTTCGACGTTTCTCCTCGAACTGTTGAACTGTATGGGAACATTTGCAATTAGTAACAAACCAAAATCACATTATAGATACATCAAATATGCTGCCGCATGAGAAAAACACTGGTCCTAGGATCCAAAACATTAGCATAAAGTAGAACTACCCCGCTTATAGCTGGCTTAAGCTAAGCGAAGCTAAGGATTAAAATTTTATGAAACAGACTGTTATCTGAGATTCCAACTTCCAAAGGCTGGTTTCCAAAGTGAAGCAGTTTGAAAATGTTGCGGAAAGGTTTATTCCATAATGCCGATAGTTAACTGCAATGGGATCTTTTTGATCAGCAACGTAACAAAATGATAATAAAACCACTGTTAAAAATACAAACAGTTGATTATGGCATACGCTGATTCAAAACATTATCTTAAATAGGAACAAAGATATTACAATATAATTTGATTCTTTGGCCATCCTAAATATTTCGGAAGGGGTTCCACCAAGACTAATGTTTTACAAGTTGAATAAGTTTCAGTGAGTAAATTTTAGTTACCTTTGCTCTTGTGATTATATTTGTTGTTCCTAAACTTGACTTTTGACGATTTTGCGTTTCCTTTGTCATTCTTAGGTGACATTGTACAAACTTAACCAATGAATAACGTGTCGAATGTCGACTCGACTGCTGTCTGCTGTCAAACCATGACTGCGGATAGTGCATTCCTGTAAAGAGTGACGAGATGCTGCGAATAAGTAAGCCTTCTTTCGGTGGTAGTAGCGGGAGCGGCTGTGGTAGTAGTGATAACAACAACAAACATTTATGTCTGTGAGTTTGAGGACTGGGGATCAGTTTTTTAATGTGCAAGTCTATGCTATGCAAATGACTGATTTTCCCATTTCGGCTCAAACATGACTGAACTTTCAGCCAGTGTAGGAACTGTAGGTGAGACTACACTCTAATGGCTGCACATAGGTTGACCTTCCTTGAAGTATAATATTTTCAAAATCTTTTCTCTTTTCTAGACATGGTCTTGCCCACCACTATGAATACAGTATTTGGACTTACAAAAGTGACACTATCGGAGTGTTTTCTGAAAAACATACCTGATTCTGACAGCAAAGTAAAATTATTTAAAGAGTCATTCAATGATCTGAAATGTACGATGATCGAGGATGGTAACTATTGCTTGGAAGGCTCATGGGAGGCTGTTGTCAGGACAGAACAGATGCTCCAAGCCATTCTAGATAAATGGATGTCCAAGGTTCCAACCAAACAACAGAATGCTCAGATTATTGAAATAAATAGTGCAAACCTACTGCTCACTCAGCCAATAGACCATCGTGATTTAGAAGAATGTATGTTTAAGAAGTCCTCCAAATCTACAGTAAGTGCTGAATGCTCTGAACAAGCGGATCAGGATCTTGATTGTTCTGCAAACCAGAACCAGGCCCATCCATTGCAGGAGACCAACATTTCTTATTTGGATGACCCATCTGCAGAGAATGAGGTGTATATGGATATTCAGTTGGAGCACAACTACAACCATTTTAAGGCAGATTTAAACAATGAGTCAATGTCTAACAATGGAGAACCAATGGTGGAAAATGAAATTTATATGGATATTAAGCTGTCAAAGACAAACAATGAGAGTTTTGCCAATCCAGATCTACCAGTCATGCTTGTTGTCGCCAAAGATGATGAGCCTGGTGTTGAAGTTCTTCAGCTCAATGTAAATAAGCCAAATGGACAAATCTCACCCACCAAAGAATATTTAGGCGAAGGGACAGTTCCCATAAATCAGTCTGAAGATTTAAAACTACGCAGAAAAAAATATGAAGAGAAAGCCCCTTTCAAGTATTTTTGTAATCAGTGTTCTTTTAAAACAAAACGATATAGCCACATGAGAAACCATTCTCGTTTTCATGAACGAATATGCACTATATACTCATGTGATCAATGTGACTTTAGCACTATAAGGGCTAGTCATTTACAAAGGCATGTTGGAACTCACAAACCAGAAGCATTTACATGTTCTGAGTGTACCTACAGTACTCATTCAGAAATTTTTTTCAAAAGACATCAGAGATTGAAGCATAAAGCCAAACAGCCAAATAAGCCCAAGACCACAGATACTTATCAATGTTTGCAATGTGATTACATGACCACTAGTGAAAAAATATTTAATAGGCACTTGACTGTTCATACGAAGAAAAAACATGGAAAGATGAAACAACCATGCTTCAAATGTAAGCAGTGCTCTTACCAGACTCCAAGCCGGTCCAATTTTTATCGACATTTAGGTGGTGTTCATGGCGATGAAAGACCCTTCATGTGCCCTACTTGTGGGCTATGCTTTAAACGCTCTGACACATTAGCCCAGCATCAAACGACCCATGTAAAGAGTGAAGAGTCAGGTAGAAGTGCATTCCAGTGTGAAAAGTGTGAAAAAAGTTATCGCTCTACAGGTGCTCTAGAGGAGCATAAATTGACCCATGAAGAAGAGAGGCGTTACCTCTGTGAAATTTGTGGCTCTTCTTTCAAAACGCGTGCTGTGCAAAGAAAGCATTTCATTGAGACTCATGTTCATACAAAAGTGCATCCTTGTTCTACTTGCTCCAAGACCTTCACGACCAAGTATTTATTGAAGAGACATATGAAAGTGCACTCACTTAAACATCAAGACAAGATCACCACTATCGAAGCAAATAGCAGCCCTCAAGAGATAAGTACAAACACGATTGGCTCAATTGACTGGTGCCAATCTATTGTGCCTGCTCAGCAATCATCTAACGATGTTCAAGTGTTTGTTGTTTACCAAGAGCCATCTCAACAAGATTTAAGTTTGCAAGAAGGACATTTATTTCAGGTTTCTCCCTCATTGGTAGCCAGTCAGACTTTATCTGCATCTGTCTTACCAGTTGAATTTGTAATTTCTGAGGGTAATTCAGAGAGTGAAAACTGTGGTGGAGAAACAGCAGTAAATGAGCAACAATAGTCTTTGTCTGCACAAAATGTCTCTTTATTTCTTTTGTAGAGGAGAGGGAGACATGATAAATGGTTGTGATTGGTGCAAGAAAATTAAAAAATCCAAGAAGTCACTTTGGTTTCAAAAATGATTATCAATTGTTAGTAATTAAATTCAGCTTTCAGTGTTCTTTAGATTTAAGGAGAAAGAGAGGAACGAAGTCACTTTTGTTTTAAAAAAATAAAGCTCTATAACAGTGACCTCTTGTTCATTCGTTCTTCAGTCTATCCCATCTCCAAATAGTTCCATCATCACAGACACACAGTAACACTGATCCATCACGACTTAAACTTGTTTGTCGTATAGCTGTATTACACTGTGGGTGTGATAAAGTTAGACACTTGGCCTGAGATGGATCTGGCACATCTAGATCCCAGACAAAAGTTCGACCAACCATGTTACCCAGGGCAAGAGTCTGCAAAGAAACGCATTATGTGAACACACAAAAAACAAAACAAAGAAAAAAGCAGTCCCAAAATTTCTTAACTTACTTTTTGCCAGAAGTCCATTGCAAATCTTACAAACCAAATTTCACATTCTTTGTAATCAAAGCGATGAATGATTGTTACATTAGAATCATTCGGTCGACACTCCTTATCTTCAAGACGACCAGGTTTCCAGCAGACAATGCTGTTTTCACAGGACTGAAACAAAGATGAGATATTTTACAAGGATGAAAACTTGAGAAGCAAAAAGAACGAGTCTGTATACTTAATGAGGAACAACCTTTGATAGGACAAAATCTCCCAGCCAACGAACACAATCCACATAATTTCGGTGGATGTCTCTGGTTGAAAAATCAGGAAAATGTTCATTAAGAGAATCAAATGGACGGGTGCTGCGGGCAGGGTTGAAAGTGTAAGAGTTGCGAATGGCTTCTTGCATTTCTTCTTTATCCAAGCGCCACAATTTTAATGAATGATCCATTCCACAAGAGAGAATTTTGTCTCCTCGCATGTTGAAATCCTAGAAGTAAACCATTACACAAAATCAAATATACTTGTTTTTGAGGTTGATAACAATTCATTACTGAAAATTCTTATAAATGAAATTAAATGCTAAATAGATAATAATAATAACAATAATTGCATTGGAGACTCACCCCACTTAAAACTTCATCTCGATGACCTTCTACTCCTCCAAAAATAGCAATACAAACATCAGTCTTAATATTCCAAAGTCGTAAAGCATGGTCTTTAGACACAGACAAGAGTAAATTAGGATCTCTTGGATGAAATTTCAATTCATTGATTGCATGTCCATGGCCTTTAATGAAACAGGAGATAATATTTAAATTTGCCCCTCATCTAAGGATATTTTAATGTACTGAAATGATTAACTTACCCACATAGTGACGTATACAGGACATTGTTGAGGGATTGAACAGTCGAATAATACCTCTGGCACCTGAAACTGCTAACAATGGTTTTCCAGAATCTACATCATAAGACCAGGCACATGTATAGAAGTTTTCCTCAGACTGGTAATTTGTTAAGAAAAATCAATAATATAAAGAGACAAAATCAACCATACATAACAATCTTTTGAAATAAGAAAATTGTGCACCAAAGGATACATCAGGGTCAGCATAGCATTGAAGAAGTTTAATCCCTCCTTCTTTAGGGCACTCATAAACAGAGACCCGATTACTGCCAACAGACGCAAAGATTAAAGGCTGTCCGTCTTTCAATAGATGGTTGAACTGAGCCCCAAAAAGTGGCATACCATGGTTTTCTTTCACACTACACCTGTGAAATCCACAATTTCAAATTAATAACAAGGAATGACAAAGCATTGAGGCACAAAACCCACACACTTACGAGTATTTGAATTGATTCTTCATTGGAATTTTCGGCTGTACAACTTTCTTGCGTCCCTTAAGACTTTTCCTCCTTAAGCGGTCAGTAGGTGTGGTACACCTTGAATTATTATCAGTGGTTGAATTACTCCCAACACTGGAAGTATCGTCCTGTAAACCAAACAAAAAACCAATGGGATTGAGTGATCTAAACAAAAGTGTTTCAAGATGAAACAAAAAATCTCAGGTCAGGTAGAAAGTGATGAAAATTGTTGAAACTAATTTCTTACGCCATCATCAGATTCGTCACTATGGATTGTTCCATTTGAATGATTAATTTTCGAAGATCTCTTTACAGGTGCAGATGTTGGGGACATTTGAAGAACTAATCACATAACCTATAAATGCCTTGCTCCTTTAAGTTGTGTTTGGTGTTTACAATAGATAGTGTGCTTGATTATTTAGAAGAATTTTAGTCCTTTCAATGCTTTTTAGCAACCAATCAAATCTAAGCTCAAAAATGAGGGGAAACAAGTAGCGGCTCTTGCAGTGCACAACGGGTGCAACGGGTGTATGCAGCTTCTTGCACTGCACTTCGACCGGGTACCGTTATTGAAGTTTAATCGACAGGCAAACACCCGGATGGAATCAAGAAAGACAAAATTATTCGAAATCAACAAGTTTCATCGGTCTGGACTAAAGAAAATTAAATCAGTGATCCAAAGCAAACTAAAAGTTGATTCAAAACAACTAAACACAAACAAACTAGAAGCACAAGCGAGTTTACGCGCTGAAAACTGCAGCCAACAAATCAACACTAAAATGCAGGGGTACGTTGGCAGCAGTGATGAAGGCAACGCTTTTTCTCGAGGTGGCGGTGATTTCTCGGCCACTTTTTTTCGTCCGTTTCTCGAAGGCCGTGCCGAAACGTTTCCTTCCACACGAGTCGCGTTTGCCGTGTAATCAAAATGGTAAATAGTTCTGCATTTTATCTGAATTTTAAGCATCCATCACAGCACTTTTGAGTGTTATTTTCACCCCCACGATTAATCAGTGACTGAAATGGTATTCCTAGACGTGTATTTAACTTCTGTGCTCTGAATTTCTCTATTTACGGCCCCTGCAAGTCGCGTATCCGTGTGGCTGCGTGTGTGTCACTTATTTTGTGTCAGTGTGATGTTCACTAGTTGTCTTTGGCTTCGTTGGACACCTTATATTGAATTATCTCTACCACCCGATTTTCGCTCCTAAATACCCTCTGTTTAGTAGAGTATTAGTATGTCTAAGCCCTCCATCCCGGGAGGTTGACTCTCGTGCGTGTCCCATTAGTTTCGTACATTTCTAGACGTATTTCAATGACTGCTGATTGTCCGGCTTTGTCCCTTCCATTTCCCTGTACTTGCTTTAAGTTGCGCTTCTGGTACTCCCTTCTGGAGGCGCGTTAGAACCCGTGTTTATGTGTGGCTAACCCAACTCGTTAGGTTAAGCGTCCACTGCCGGCCGCAGCCTAGCCGGCCTGGCCATGGCAGTGGGGTACATGGCCCTTGCCTTCATTCTGTGATGTGTTCCTTGTTTCAGACCGAAAACACAGCCACTGTTCGGACGAGGAAGTTCATGACCAACCGGCTTCTTGCCCGGAAACAAATGGTATGTCATATGTGATGAGAGGTTATGTTTTTGTGAAATGTTGTTTTTCTGGAGGTCTCAACCTTTTATTTTGCCTTTCAGGTCGTGGACGTCCTGCACCCTGGTCTGGCTTCAGTAAAGAAGACGGACATTAGAGAAAAGCTTGCCAAGATGTTCAAGTGCACACCTGATGTTGTATTTTGCTTTGGCTTTAGAACTAACTTCGGTGGTGGCAAATCCACTGGTTTTGCTTTAATTTATGATACCTTGGAGCTTGCCAAGAAGTTTGAGCCCAAGTACAGACTCCAGAGGGTACGTAGTTTCGTTGATGCTTGTTTTGTTTTGATTGGAACTTTTTGTCCACCTGTTAACGTAACTTTCTTTCTGCTTCAGCACGGACTCTTCGAGAAGAAGACACAGACCCGCAAACAGCGTAAGGAGCGCAAGAACAGGATGAAGAAGGTCCGAGGAACCAAGAAGGCTAAGGTTGGACAGGCAGCAGGCAAGAAGGTGAGCCAAATCTGGATTATCTTACACATTTTTCATTTGGGTTAAAAGCCTTCATGTTATCTTCTTGTATGGGTGTTGGTGGAGATTGGGTGGCTACTTCTATGTCTTAGCAGCAAGGGTATAACACCCCAAATTGTTTGCTTTTCTTGTAGGGTCATAAGGTGAGGCATTGGTGCTGGTATTGGTATGGTGCTATGTTCGATATCCATTTATCAGTGTGTTCAGTTGTTGCCTGTATATCCTGCATTGAATCATTTAACCTTACTTCTCTTAATTTAACCACTAGTATGCTCAATACCTGAACTGTGAAAGCTTAGTATCAGTAGTGTTGATGTTGTCTTACAACAGCAGACTTGTTATTTGGTTCAAGGCAATGTGGCTAGTGATTTTCTTTTTTTCAAATCTTAATTGGCTTCTGGTATTCATACTTACTAATTGATTTAATCTATTTTTCTTTTGCATGATGTTTTTACCTGTATGGTTTGTGAGCTGTGTGGTTAATAGACTGATTTTATGTATTCTTATTGTCTTGCCCCTAGATTGAAGTAATTGGCATTCTGTCGTAATATTGACCCTCTTTACTTGCTACATTAATTCTGTATCCTAATTTGGTATTTTTTGTTCTGTTTACAGTAAACGATGCTGGTGGACGACCGACTGTAAGCTACTATCTTTATCGTACGGTAATAAACCTAAATCGTTTTCAATCTGTCTGATTTTTCACCTGATCCCTTGGCGTCATTGACAGATATTCAATGTTTGAACTTACTGAAAGTTTATTTGTATCACACAATGGCACATGCTTTATTGCCACAATTCATTTAACACAGTACATAATGTGAAAGTTTAGCACATAAGACATTGACTAATAGAATGAGCCTTGACAGCATCGCCAATCACTGCTGCCCATTAAAGATTCTCGAAAGAGTAATAGTTTCAAATGAGACATTTGTCAAATTAACCAGGTTCTTTCCGAAATCCTGCTGTTGTGTCCAAATGACTGTAATGGCACTTCATATCTTGCACTTAACTTATTCACTATGCTTAAGGAACGAGACTTAGATAAGATCACAAAGTTTGCACTTGAAGAGTAGTAGATGCGCTCCTAAGTACAGCACATCAAAATGTCCGAATGAACATGAATGAAACTTGATAAAATTCTTTGGGCGTTTCCTTTGACTTCCCAATAAGAACAAGCGGGTCAAGGTGAGGTCGTCATAAAATTCAAGGATGAGATTCCTCTGACTCAAGTCTGACTGCTTTTCGATGTAGTTTTGACTCTGTTCTCACCACTGCTGTCAACTGGAAGGCTATGGCGCTGTAGTCCACGTATTCTCCTCCTCCCGTGAGTTTACTAGGCCTCTCTGCCTGTTTCTTATGGGCAGCCCTACTCCTCTCTCGGCGGTTCCACTATAGCCACTTGGCTCTGCTTGGCTCTCCCTCACAGTGGAGTGGGCACCGCTTTATGCGCCTGGAGACCATCGGGGTCCGCATGCAGGGACGTCTGCTCGTCGGGCGGCACGGTCGCGGGGCAGGCGTGGCAGGGGCAGCTCGATGGCGTCTCGGCCGAGGCTGCTGCTGCCGCGGCGGGGGCCTCCTCGTCGTCCTTCCCCTCAGGTACCTCGGGGCAGTGCAGTGCCACCTGCACCAGGCGGTAGCTCTCGCGGTGCAGGTTGTTGTGCGCGTCGAAGGGCCCCTTGAAGGCGCTGCCGCCGCTGCCGCCGAGGAGGGCGAAGGACTGGCACTGGGCCGGACTCCTCCAGAGCACCGAGCTCGTGGCCCGGCGCTCGGCGTGCCATCAGTAGCCCGACGCGGAGCGGCCCGCGCCACTGCAACTGCAATCAGTGCACAGGTGGTGTCGGGTGAGTCAATCCGGAGGCCGGGGCAGGTTGTGCACTCGCAAGTTTTGCCAGCCAAAAACGTAAAATAATAAAGATGAGGCAGCTGAAGGGGAAGAGGTGAAAACAAAGCGCGCCCCGGGTGGGCTCGAACCACCGAATTGTCGGTTTGCAGCCGATCACGCGCGCAACGGAGGCCTACAGGACACGACATTAGTCATGGAGTCCGACGCGCCTGTCGGGTTGCCAACTTTAGGGAGGCTCTCATGCCAACTTCTCCGGCCAGCAAGGGCGGATTGAAAGGGGCGCAACAGGCCTTTCGCCGCCCTCAGGACCCTAGAAAGCCGCCTGAAAGATAGGGAAAAATAAAGCAGCACTCTGCCTTGTAGGTAGGCGAAACGCAACACTTTGCCCCTGCAGGTAGGCCACAAGAGCCACTTTCCCGCGAGATTGGCGCGACCTGGACGGACCTGAATCGGCAGAGAATCATTCCTGGTCCAGCAGCCTATCATGTCATGTTTCCCCAGACTGATTTTGGAATCGCCCTTGCCGGCCAAACAGAAATCCCCGCCGTTCTGAGCTCCCCATTCTCGTTTCGAAAGGGAACGCCTTCCGTGCAGCCGAGCCGACAGGGATGCGAAATGCCGGAATTGCCCGGACGGACGATCTGTGGGTGGCGGCCCGTGTCAACGCCCGGAGCATGTCTCCCCTCCGCTCGGTCCCCTCAATATCGAGGGACGAGGTGGCCGAGTGGTTAAGGCGTTGGACTGCTAATCCAATGGGTTCTGCCCGCGTGAGTTCGAATCTCATCCTCGTCGTCCTATTTTTCCGCTGGAAGCAATCCTTATTTGACGGCGTTAGCACACGAGCATAAAAAAGACAAAATTTAAGAGTAACAGAGGGTGTTTTTCACCAGACGCCGTTACTTAAATACCGCTGAAAACGAAAAATTGATGTTTGATTTGTCTTCTAAAAAAAGCCCTCACGAAAAAGGAGGACGCCAGGGGACACCCGGGTTTGAACCGGGGACCTCTCGATCTGCAGTCGAATGCTCTACCACTGAGCTATATCCCCGACTGGGAGAGGGGCCGTCGCCTCCACTACGATATAGACGCGGCGGCGACGCTGCGGGCGACGCTAGTTCACCCGAGCCCCGGGAGGTGGCGCTGCTGTGACGTTTAGCAGTGGTGGGGTGGCGGGACCGCGAGGCGGCAGTATTCAAAGAGAGTCGCGCTTCGCTGGCTTCGCTTCGCGGGCATTCATACCAGTTCCCACGAGAAAACTCGCCCCCACACTGGAAGAGCCATTTAGATCCGCACGATCGCATTGCTTAACGCTAAAAAAGATGAGGAAAAAGGATAAATAAACAAATAAAACAAAAGAAAACCGGCAAGCCATCAAAGAAGCCCCGCGAGCAGGACCTGCTAAGAGCAACTCAACATAGAAGGACACAGCATCGCACCGGACACCCGCCGTTAGAAAAAAATGGAAATCATAGGAAAATAAGTCTGAAAACAAAGAACAAAGGAAAGAAGATGCGCCCCCCGAACGGAAGGGACAGAGAAGGAGAAGCAGCACACCGAGCCGGGTTCTAGGAGCGCAGCAGAGCGGCAGCGTGGGGCCACGTGTACGTACTTGTGGGGCGGGGCGAGCGAGGCCTGGCCGGGCCTCAGGCCGGGCCTTAGGCCGGGCCTTAGGCCGGGCCGGGCGCCTCGGCCATCAGGCTCGCCGCGAGGCCGAATGGCTTAGCAAATGAAAATAAACACTTTTCTACGCCTCTTGGCTTTCTGCCTGGAAAAGAAAAGACGGCAGTCAGAGCGGCGAGTGGCGCTGGGACCCAGCAGGACCCTGTGGCACGGTGCACCGCGGTGACGACATGATCCTGGTGAACAAGCCCTCGCCGCACACGCGTGTACACGGCTCTGGACGCCGCCCGGGCCTCTGGGCCATCGGCAAGGCCATCGGCAAGGCCATCGGCCTGTGGGCCGGTGTGCCCGCGGAGCCCACAGAGCCCTCCCCTGCGGCTTCGTGGCCCACTGTGCGTCGGGGACTCAGGGACTCAGCAGGTCGCTGCGGCCATGCGGAAGGGCCGGCCTCGCCTGGGAACAGTCCGGAACAGTTGCAGTGCTCAAGTCGTGCCGGCGGCGTGGGCGCACTGTCGAACCGAGTGTGGGGAACTCCACGCGTGGAATGCGGAGGTGTGGGAATCTCAGACACGACACCGCGGCACTTCGAAGGGCAGAGCTTGCAGTGTCCACACTTCCAGTGCGGAGTTGTTCTCCCCGTCTGCACTAAAGAGGTAGGGGCTCTGTGAGCTACTCCACACTTGAAGTGTGGCGACTGCGAACTCTTCACGGGCAAGCGTGGAAAACGAGGGGGTAACGACTGGTAAATTTCGTTTACCCGGGTTACCCCCGGATTACCTCCGGATTCGGATCACAACCAAAATTTTCCTGGATTACGCGGGGTTACCCCGGATTACCTCAAAATTTGCCCGGATTACCCCGGATCACCACCAAATTTCGGGTCATCCGGATTACCGAAGTCGTCACGCCCTCGGTGGAAAATGACTCCGCGGCAGGAAGTGCTCCGCAGTCGGTTCGACAGGGCTTGCGACAGGGTGAGCGAGGCCGGCCTGGGCTAGCCCAGGCTCGAGCCTCGGCCTACCTGGTGTCGTTGATGCGCAGCGACGTGGTGCGCGTGTTGCTGGACGGCTGCCGGTTCGCCTTCCTGGCCGTCTTGCAGCAGCGGCACAGCGCCTGCCGGAAGCTCTCGCGGAAACTCCGCGACATGAAGCCGTACACGATCGGGTTCACGCAGCTGGGGGCAAGCAAGGGCACTGGTCAGGGGGGCAAGGCGTGGATCGGGGGGGGGGGGGGGGGCGTCGCTCGGGGCGTCCTTCCCCATCCCCTGAGGACGGCAAAGCCGCCCGAAAGGCAGGCAAAACAAAGTCGCACTTTGCCCATGTATGCAGGCAACTTTTACGACACCGCCCCCTCTTGAACTTGAAAGGCTACACTGGTGGCCAACGAATGTGACGTCATATTCGTTCGAATGTGAATTTTGTCACGTTCGTTTGAATATGATGTCACACTCGTTTGAATGTTGATCCACGTTCAAACGAATGTGACACCCTACTTAAACGGCCGAGTCACGTTCAAACGAATGTGACATCATATTCAAACGAACGTGACAAAATTCACACTCTAACGAATATGACGTCACATTCGTTGACTACCAGTGTAGCCGTGAACGTGAACCCGTCTCTGGATCCAACCTTGGGGCGCTACACACCAAATCTGTATGGCAGCGCACACAATCGAGGGGGCAACCTTTTTTGATGTTTGGGGACACAAGATTTCTAGATTTCGAACGATTTCGTCCGATTTTACGCCCAAATTTGGTTGTTTTTTGCCGTTTTGGGGGAAAGATTTTAGATTTTCAGAGAATTTTGGCTTTCAACAAGTGGACACAGGATTATTCACGCGTGAGTGGTTGCCCTCGCTCGCACACAATGGTGTTGCGAAGGCGGTAAAATCTGGGCGCCGCCATACCGAGGGGTTACCCACTCGGTACTTGGGCGTACACACGATTCCGGATTCCCGCGATTCCTGAACAAATCTTGCATAAAAGGAGAGGTTTTTGAAGATTTTTCTTAGCTTTTGAGTGTTTTGTGTCTATTACATATCCCTCTCCATTGAAACTTTTAAGATTTTCGATAAAATTTTGAGCAAATTACGAACGATTACCGGACTGAGTGTACACACGATTTCCGGAGTGGGTAACCCCTCGCGCCATACGCACCCTGCAACCGCACGAAACAGGCGGTGCAAAGTATTATACTGCCATTCTGCACCATTCAGGGGTTGCGTCAAAAGGAGGTATAAAATATTACCGCCAGTGACGTTTGCCCTTGGCTTTCTGAAAGGGGTAGTAACGGTTCCGGAAGGGCGGTGCGTAATCTCTCTCTTTGCAACGCCCTTCTATTGGCGGTAAGGCCTGGACCCCGCCAATGTACAAAATTGCCGCCAGTAAAGGGTGGGAATGTTGTCGCCTTTCCATTTGGAGTGTAGGGCCCTGCCGTGCCGTCCCGCCGTCGCGTCGGCACACTGTGCACACACCGCCCACGCCAGCGTGGCGGCACGGCAGTTTACCTGTTGAAGTAGGACAGCAGGTGGAAGCACACACTCATGTACTTGTAGCCCTTGAGGTCGCCGACGCGCTCGTAGCCGTGCGGCAGCACGCCGTAGGCCGTCAGCAGGTTGTCCACCAGCAGCGGCGCCCAGCAGATGACGAACACCACCACCACGGCCACCAGCATCTTGGTCACCTACATAGGGGGGGCGGGCGAGAACCACGTCAAACAAATATTTCGCTCCGTTTTGTGCACACTCAATTCCTTTGTATGATTTTGCTCGTGGTCTCGCACAATTTTGCGCTCGCGTGCTTTTCGCGCAAATTTGCACACAATATCCCACAACTTTGTGCGGTTCTGCGTACAAATTTGTGCGAACGAGTTGCAAACAAGTTTAAAATTGTGTGAGACCACGTACAAAATTATACAAATACATTTAGTGAATGGTTTTTGCTTTGGGCTCCACTACACTGGTAAAACAATTGCACAAAAACTACGCCCTGACGTAATGACTTAGTGCCTTTGGAAGGGCATTAAAATTGAAATTTTGCGCCTTGCAGTCCTTTACTAATTCACGCCTCCAAGGGCATAAACTGATTAGGGCATAAACCGATTCACACCGGTCGAGGGGCCTACATCGTTTACGCCCTGTTAGGGCACAGTTTTATTGCATGTTTTACCAGTGTCCCCCACACTCTAAGTGTCTTGCGGTGATAGGCTGCAACAACATATTATGGCGGGGATTTTCTCCATGATACAATGAAGAAATTTGACAAAATATCTATAAGGTACAGAGAATTTCCAGTGGTACGTTCTACAAAATATCTGTAAGGTACAGAGTATTTCCAATGGAACGTTACAAAATCAGCTGCACCACCATAATCTAGAGAATTTTCACCATAATATGGAGAATCTTCACTATAAGACTTTTAGAGTGCACCGCACTGGGTAGGAAAGGCCGCTGTCTTTTGGTAACACTGAAATTTTCAATAAAAACTTTGTGCCAAAATATGGCGAGACAGAAAGCCTTTCCAAGTTTTGGTCCGACCTGAAGGTCTCGCCAAAATTTGGTGAGACAAGAATGTCTCGTCATAAAATGGTCAGGATCAAGTCTGAAAATGAGTCAAAAAGTTTTTTGTCTGACTACGGAACAGGCCGCTAGAACCGCATTGTCTGGGTTCTAAGTTCTGGCCACAGAGCGGTCAGGCAAAAATATCTCACCCTTTTGTGGTGCGACATCTAGGTGCGACCAAATTTTGGCGAGACCTTCAGGTCTGACCAAAACTTGGCAAGACATTCCAGTCTCACCTTTGAGAAGTCTGACTTTTGGATTCGTAGTGTAAGTTGGTGTACTTACACACCCATTGTAGGTGGGCAAGCCCGGAAAGGCTTCTTTTCGCCTCCTCCTCCTATCTCTCCTCTGGGTTGCGTTGCCAAAAAAGCAATACATGTTCAACAAATTCATCATCAAGCCCAAGGGGAAATAACTCCAGCCAAATTTGTACACCAAAATTCAACAAACATGTAAAATTCACTAAAATTCATTCACATTCATCGAGATTCAACTAAAACTCATCAAAATTTGACTGATATTCATCGGAATTTGACTGAAATTGATCGGAATTTGACTGAAATCCTTCGAAATTTGACTGAAATTCATCGGACTTGAACACCGAAATTCACAGTGATTTCCCCTTGATCAAGCCAAGGCTCAAAGCAGATGGATGACACAATGCATGTTCTCAATGCGTTTAGATGCTTGTTAATGAACATCGATGAGAGAATAATTAAGCCATTGCTTATCTGCGACGGTGTCACTCCGAGACACTCTTTGGGTTGCACCGAGTTGCACTCGGCAAGGCCAGGTCAAGGCCAGGGCCTGCTGCTACACTGCGAGAAACGACCTCGGGCGCTCCTTTGGTCCCGAGACAGTTGAAGCTAACAGCTCTCACTGTCGTTATCGCCTGACAATGGCTATTTTAAAAGTCTAATTCCCAAGTCGTCGTTTGTCGTCTGTCACCTACAAAACCGGCACTATCAGAATCTTACAAACTACACTGAAAAAACAAATCTCCAGAATTTACGAAGGCGCCTCTGGCAAAAATATTGCCGAATGCACCTTTGTGAATTCACGAAAGGGGTTGCGGTTATTAACAAAGATTTTAGGTAATTTACGAAGATTCTTGGTAAATCAACGAAAATCCATCGGATCTTTACCTAGGTCCTTCGTAAATTTAAGAAGATTCTTCCTTCTTTTCCAATAACCTGCTTTGTTCGGCTTGGATTTGCAAAGGCACCTCCGGCAACATTTTTGCCAGAAGCAAGCGCCTTCGTTGATTCCCAATCTATGTCCTGCAGAGTACTTACAGAGGCCTTACAAAGAAAGGAAGCTTGTCAGAAAATAAAGTATTTTGAGCATGCATAAGCTTGCAAAAAAATACTTCCTGGTTTATACAAAGTTCAAAGAACAAAATATCTTACGTGTGCTCAAAATACTTCGCAAGGATTAAAGCGTGGGTTTTTGTTAATTGTTTGCGGTGTGATGCGGTGCCCTTGTCCCAATGCCGCGCCCCAGCGGGCCCCAGCGGGCCCAGGGCCAGGCCCAGTGTGTGGCCTTCGGCTTGGCCTTCGGCTTGGCCTTCGGTGTGGGCTTTCGCGGACGTGACGTGTGTCAGCGACAGCGAGCCACACCAAGGCCGAACCGAGGTCACGTGATGACCTTCAGGCACGTATCCAGGCTCGAAAAAAAAAGGCGGGGGGAAAAAGGGGGGGGGTCCTGTCCCCAAACCAAAACCCTTTTTCCCACTTTTCCTGGTTATGACAAAAACCTATTGTCTTTTTACTTAAAAGCAAAATTAATTTGTTGTTGTACTGGGGGTTAACTTATTTGCAACTCGAACCTGAGCAAAACGACCCTCCCTTTTTTAGGATACGCGCCTGAGGGGTGGGTCAAGGCGGCACTCTTTGCCTGATTACGCAATGGTATCCCAAGAATGTGGAGAGGTTCATTTATAGAAAATGAGTTTTAACGAACATGGGGCAAGCCATGTTTTAGTGTTAAGCTTGACATTCGCATCGTTGTCGTACCTGGAATACCAGTACACAGGTGCAAAGTTGCGACTTTTGGCTACATTACATTCCAGGTGGGTCTCAGAGCCAAAAGAAGTAGGGATCTTCCCTCCCTCCAACCCGTTCCCTGACCTTTCCTTAAGGACATTGAGGTATTCGAGCTGCCCCTGATTTCACTGTGAAGCCAAGTGGACTACTCGGAAGTGCGGAGCGACTGACAATTCCGAACCTCCGCATTTCAAGTGCATGTACTCACTGTTAAAAATTTTGTACTTTTGTACGGAAATGGTACAGAAAAATATAGTACGGAAGTACGGAGAAAAGTACGGAACGTTCCGTCTTGCTCCATTTGGACCCATGTAAATGGGTACGGAAAAAAAGTACGAAACGTTCCGTAGTTGGCAAGTACGGACGTTCCAGGCAAATTATTGACCAGACATGTTCCGTACTTTTTCCGTACTTTTTTCTCACAGTGCTCCACACTCGGTTTGACACAGTGTTTCTTGACGATTCAGGGCCGCACCGGGACGAGGACACCGCGAACACCGCATGCCAATGCCGAGCACAATGGGCCGCGAGGCCGAGGCCCAGGTGCTGCCGAGGAGGCCCAGGCTGCTGAGGCCCAGCCTGCCGAGGCCGAGGTGGACCGAGCTGCTTCGACAACACAGTCTCTCGCGGCCTCGGCCTGCCTCGGCCTGGGCGGCGCTCCACTCACCTGCTTCACGGTCTGCGTCTCCTCCTCCATGCGGATCTGCCCCGCGTTCTTCTTGAGCGACTCCCGGAAGCCCACCTGCCGCTTCTTGGACAGCGGGATGCTCTCCACCACGTTGAGGCTGCCGACAAGGAAAGCAGTGGCGGTCTCTCTCTCTCTCTCTCTCTCTCTCTCTCTCTCTCTCTCTCTCTCTCTCTCTCTCTCTCTCTCTCTCTCTCTCTCTCTCTCTCTCTCTCTCTCAATTCCGTATTTGTGTTTGAGTGTGAATAAGTCAGTCAGTCAGTGAATGAAAGAAGGAACATATGAATGAATGAATGAATGAATGAATGAATGAATGAATGAATGAATGAATGAATGAATGAATGAATGAATGAGAGTGAGCCAGTCAGTAGGTCAGTCAGTCAAAGAGTAAGTGAGTGAGTCAGAGTGAGTGAGTCACTCAGTCAGTCAAAGAGTGAGTGAGTGAGTGAGTAAGTGAGTGAGTGAGTGAGTAAGTGAGTGAGTGAGTCAGTCAGTCAAGAGTGAGTGAGTCAGTTAGTCAGTCAAAGGGTGAGTGAGTCAGCCATAGTCAGTCAGCCACACTCGTGTAAATCTTGACAGAATGTCAGAAACCTGTCTGAAAACCTGATCAAAATTCCGCGCACCTCTGAAAGCTGAAAACACCTCCTGGCATTCCGAAGAACTCAAACCATCAATATCAGAGTAATTTTTCAGAATTTCAGCTTTCAGAGGTGCGCGAATTTTGATCAGGATTTCAGATATGTGTCTGACATTCTGACAAAATCTACACGAGTGCAGTCAAAGAGTGCGTGAGTGAGGGAGAGAGAGAGAGAGAGAGAGAGAGAGAGAGAGAGAGAGAGAGAGAGAGAGAGAGAGAGAGCGCACAAAATAGCACTTTCCGTCCAGAAGGGAACAAAGTGTCGCTTTTTGCCTACCTTCAAGGCGGCTATTTAAAGGTCAAAGGATAGAGGGGACAGTAATCATCCCCCCCCCCCGCCTGGATCCGCCGCTTGAAAGGAGGTGCTCTGCCTGGCAAGGCAAGGCGGCTACCGGGCGGCCGGCGCGCACACAGACCGCACCGCTCCATCCTCTGGCAATCTCCAGCCAGATCAACAATGCAAAGTAGCTCTTGGAGGTCGGGGTGCGGCCGGGGCGCGGCGTGGCGTGGCGTGGCGTGGCGTGGCGTGGCGGGGCGTGGCGTGGCGTGGCGGGGCGGGGCGGGTCCCAGGGGTTGCACGGTTCCACGCGCCCCGCTCGCCGAGGTGAAGTGGTTCCTGGTCGGCGAGGCGCGCGGTCGAGGGGACGCCGCGTTGGCAATTCGTTGCGGTGCGCGCACCGCGGAGCCAGGAGGAGCAGACAGTGTGGGCGTCGCGGCGCACCGACTGCACTGCAGACTCATTCCGACAGTCGCTTTCGTCGCTCTGTCCCTCCCGCAATCATGGGCGTCCCTTTGGGAGGAAGCGATGAAAACGCCTCTCGGAATCAGTCTGCTGGCGGAACGCTCCGGCGTGGTTGTTCTCTTCTTTCAAGCCCACAGACTACTCTGGAATGCTTTACGCTTGAAGCCAAGCGCAGCGTGGACGACTTGGCCTATGCATTTGAATAGGCGGGAGAGGCAGAGGCGAAAACGGAGAACTAGGCTTGAACCCGAACGTGGCGGCCACCACGCTAGAAGTAAGGCGTAAGACTCGAGGGGTGAATCACTAGCGTACTCATGTGTGATAGGTCCGTACTCTGTTTAAATACTGACACGTATGAAAAGATCAAAACTCTTTAATGTTTTGAATGATTTGGCGTTTTTGCTGTCTGCCGAACAAAGCCTAAAATTGCGTATTTATGTGAAACTAGTGGGTTTTGAAAGGTGTACTCAACCGTACTCATGTACTCATGTGTATACTCCAAAAAGCTGAGTGATTCAACCCTCGATAAAACTACGCTTCAGGTCTGACAGTGTGATACCCACGAGGAGTCCCGAGTGATGGGCACTCCGCCCCTTAGCGAAGCTTGGCGTCCACAGTGGAGGACCCTTGTTTGGGGCTGCTGGGCGGAACCCACCGCCGCCTTTGCGTGCGTGTTTCGGTCTGTTCCGGTCTCGATTTTGGTTTCGGTGGTCACACAGACCGCACTTTCTGAGCAACACAAATTTCATCGCACTTTTTTTTCTGTCATCATTCAAAAAGGTGTGATGAGCAACTACTGTATCGCAGAACTTTGCACCATTCCAAAACTCTGCGATGATTTCTAAGGCTTGCAGATTTTGTCATGACATCAATGCAGAAAAAAAATATGCAGAAAACTCTGAGAAGCAGTGATTTGTGGGAATCGCAATTTGGATAATCATCACACGATTTCGTGTTGAAAGTATTGCAACTTGGATGACAGTGTAATGGTTGGGGTTTGGGTTTGGGTCCCTCCGCCAATGGTGAGTTCGGCTTTCTCCCAGTGCTGCTGCACTGTTCTGGGGCGCCCCATTTTGCTTTGTGCATCGCCAGCGGTCGTTTTAACGAGCCGCTGCCGAGACAGGCCGCGTGCGTCCTTGTGGAGCGATGCTCGCGTCGCAGCACTCAGAATGAAAGAGTCATGGTCATGACTAAAATTTTGGGCGAGGAATTCCTTATCACTCAAATTTGGGTGAGGAAGGTTTCCTCGCCCAAATTTGGGTGATGAAGTATAGCTCGCCCAACATTGGGTATTGATCATGACTTTTTCTTTCTCAGTGAGGGAACTGCAGGGGAAAACGGCACACTTTTTCAAAGAATGTGACGTCATAGTCGGAAAAATATGTCACATTCGTTGGCACGTTCCATCGTGACATCACATTCGAACAAACGTGACAAAAATGTAACATTCTGACGAATAAGACGACCGGCGGGTCTGCCACTGACTCGCGATTTGCCACTCAATTCATCCAGGCTTTTTGCCTACACTGAAAATTTAAGTGTGTACTGAGCACATACATAGGGCATATTTAGGTGTTTACGAGTACACACATAGAGCACTTAAGTGTGTACTGAATACACACATAAGTTTTCAGTGTACTTACAGGCGTTTGTTTTACAAATTGCTTACATACAAAGCGTGTTTCAGGTAAAATCAAACGGAGGGGGAGTGACTGTTGGCTGGATGCGTACAATGAGTGCTTAAGAAGTGGCAGACCCCTTGAAGACGATGACACATTCGTTGAGTAAAAGTGGGGCTTTTTGCTAACGAGAGTTCTACGAAACCAATTTCGTAGATCTGACGCATGCTTCATCTGACTGCGGGGCATTTGGAAGGCGCAAATTGGAGAGGCTCTGAAAGAGTCGTCCGCAGCGATTTTAACGTTATTCCACCGTGCTGACTGTGCTGCAGCGCCACGCAGCCGCAGGGGGGGGCTGTATGTCTCCCGACGCGGCGCGGCCCGGGCGTGATTCTGAACCGTTCGTGCAGAGAAACCCAATCAAGAACCGTAATTGAAACTGCTGACTGATTCCGAGAGTCGTTTTCGCCGCTCTGTCTCTCTCGCACCTACAGGAGACGCCCCGTGAGCGCGAGAGAGACAGAGCGACGGAAACGACTCTCCGGCAGCAGGCAGCGAAAGGACGCCCCATCCGTAACCCGGCCGTGACTCCGTGATTTGGGCGCGGAAAGGAAGTCGAAGGAGGGCTGCAAACTCGGCCCTCTTTCCGCTGGTCATCTGCAGAGTGGCACGCTCTGTCTCTCTCGCACTCGCGGGGCGTCCCGCAGGGAGCTGAATAACCTAACGTGGTCTAGACCGCTCCAACCGGTGTGGTCAAATGGGTGCCATTTTGACATCAGTTGGTGCGGTCTAGACCACGTTTGGCCACGTTTGGTGTGGTCTAGACCCATCTGGGCACCCATCTGACCACGCCAGTGGTGCGGTCTGGACCACGTTTGGTTTTTCAGTGGGTGCGAGAGAGACAGAGTGACGAAGCGCTGCAGGACATTCACCGCTAGCCGCTCGTCGTCACACTCGGTCCCTCTTGCACTCGTGCACGGTAAAAACGGAACCTGGTTTTCCCAGGAAGCCAATGGTGAAGGCATAGGCGATTTTCAGGGAGTTCCTGGGAAAACCAGGAACCGTTTTTACCGTGTGCGGAGTCCTGCAGGGATGCATTCTCAACCCTTGCCGCCTCGCACCAGTACGGAACGCACCGCGAGAGAGCCGCACTCACCCCTTGCCGCTGGTCATCTGGCAGCGCTGCAGCATGACGTGCCACACCTCCCAGCAGATGACGGAGTACGTGAAGACCATGATGCCGGTGGGCACCACCAGGATCACCACCAGCGAGTACACGTCGTTGAAGCGCAGGATGAAGTCGTCCTCGAAGTCGCGCACGCACCACATGCCCGAGTACTTGACGCCCACCTCCTTGTAGTCCTGCAGCACCAATCATGCATTTGTAGGCACACTCTGAAAACCTTGCAAACTAATTTAGGCCGTACACAGAAAAGCAGCATACATATAAGCTCACAAAGAAAATACTTCGCAATTAACGAACTTTTTCTTCGTATAACAAAGTGAATTAGTTTGTACAATGTATGCTCAAAATACTTTGTAAGGTTTTAAACATGCAAGTTTTACAAAAAAATAATAATTATAATTTTGTAATTGACGAATTTTTTTTTTTTTGCTGTTCATGAGAGTTTTTGTTTCAAATCCATTTAAAACAACAAACTAACCAACTGTTTTGGGGCAAGAGTTTTTCCCCCTCAAAACTTCTCACTTTTAAAATTTTAAATACGGTGAAAGATTTACCAACTTGGTTGGGGTGAAGATTTTCCCAGTAAAAGAAAAAGAAATGGTTTCGACAAGGCGGCGTGGGTAAGGTTTTCAGAGTACGGTCAGCAGAGAGACTGTCCTCTTGGTGTGTGGCGTGAACAGGGGCCAGTAAAAGAAAAAGAAGATGGGTCTCCCAAGGCGGCCGTCGGGCAAAACTCAAAATTGTAGTAAGACAACAAAAGAGAGAGGAGAGAGAGAGGGGAGAGGAGAGAAGGAGAGAGGAGAGAGAGAGAGAGAGAAGAGGAGAGAGAGGAGAAAGGGGGAAAGAAAGAGAGAGAGAGAGAAAGAAAGAAAGAAAGAGAGAGAGAGAGAGAGAGAGAAAGAAAGAAAGAGAGAGAGAAAGAAAGAAAGAGAAGAGAGAAAGAAAGAGAGAGAGAGAGAGAGAGCGCAGGACAGATGGCACACAAACAGCAGGCGAGCGACGCCCATCTCCGAGGCGACAAAAGTTTGCCAGTCGTCCTGCTTGCTCTTTTGTAGAACAATCCGGAGGCGCCGCGAATCCGCGGATTAGATTTGTTTCTTTCCGCGCGAGACACAACAAAGAGTCCCGCGCGGCGCGGCGCCAGGCCCCGCCAGGCCCCGCCAGGCCCGACGACGTCGCGCTCGCAGTGCAGGGAATGGGGGAAACTCCGGGCCCGAGAAAACATAGGCCAAGAAAACAGTGTGGGAGGCACTTGCCGGGCGAGTTCGGGCGAGGTACGCACCGGCAAACCAAGGGTGGAGATCTCCACACTTCCTGGTGCGGGCGGAGTCTCACTTGGATGTGTGGAGTTCGCAGTCTCCTCATTCAAGTGCGGAGTAACTCCAGGGCCCCTACCGGGCACGGTGCAAACGTTGAGAACTCGGGGATAACACTGAGATTCCAAACGCTATGAATATAGCACGAAAATGCGTCCCGAAAATGCCCAACGCTAATGCATGGGCATGGGAAGGCATTTGCACTTCATGTGCAATGCTTTTGCATTGCATCAATTGACGCTATATTCATAGCGTTTGGATTCTCCTCGGTGAACTCCACACTTGAAGTATGCTCCGCAAAAAACGGTACCTGGTTTCCCAAGGAAGCCTATGGTAGAGACATAAGCTCGGACGCAGGCGATCAATAGGAAGTTCCTGGGAAAACCAGGTTACGTTTTTACCGTGTGGAGCGAGGGGGCCACTACTCTCATTTCAGGTGTACACAAGATTACGGGATTACGGGAAATTTACTAGGGATTACGCGTGAAATTTTCGAAAATTGGTTCGAAAACGTTGAAAAAAAGCTCAAAAACATTGAAAAATGACTAAAAACGTTGAAAAATGACAGAATTTTGTCAAGGATTACGTGATTACGCCATGGATTACCAGAGATTACCAGCCAATTTGTACACAGGATTACGGGGGTGGTGGCCCCCTCGGTGTGGAGAATGCAAACTCTGCACTTCCGCGATTTCGACATAAAGTTTCGAGAGTAAAAATCGACCAAAAAAGAGAAAACTGTCGCTGCCGTGTGCGACATTGCAGCATCGTGTAGGAAGGAAGAGGGAAAAGATTGGTAGACTGAGGGACTGGGTGGCAGGCTGGCCCAAGGGCTGGCCGCACAGGGGGCCAGAAGACCGGTGGAGGAGGCCGAAACTCTAGACGCGTTTTGAGCTCCAGAATCGCTAAACAGGCCTCGAACCGAACGTGTGACCCCACCAATGGACTCCTCGTTCGGAGAGCATTCCATTGGTGGGGTCACACGTTCGGTTCGAGAGCCGTTTAGCGATTCTGGAGCTCAAAACGCGTCTAGAGTTTTGTCCGCCTCCGCCGGTCCTCTGGCCCACTGTGGGCCGTACTCACGATGGTCTGCAGGATGGGCGTGGCCATGACGAAGGCGGCCAGCCAGATGCCGGCGCAGATCTTCCTCGCCTGGGACAGCGAGCACAGGTACTTGACCTTCATCGGGTGGATGATGGCGTAATACCTGCGGACACACACCAGAGCGTTGGGTTATACACTGCCAAACCAAAAGATAATAGCCATAGCACGTAATTACTCTGCACACTGCACCGCAAGGGAAAGTGTGAATTGTACAACAATAGGACAACAAAAACTGTACAATAAAAGTACAACAGGGATTGTAGAAAGTACAGCGAGAATTGTGCAAACCACAACGAGGTCTGGACTGCACAGGACTCGTCATGCCGGTTCCATTGTACTTTGTACAACAATTGTTGTACTTTGGAAGTACAATAAAATCCTGATAAAAAATTTACCAGAAATTTGTGTACTTTTGTTGTGGTTTTTTCTTGCAGTGTGCAATACCAAGTGTGGGGACTGCAAACTTCCACTTACAGATACTGAAAATACCACACTTTCGCATCGCATTTCAGGTCAGAGCCTGCGATCGGGTGGGTAAGGCGGCCGAGCGCTACCCGGCCGGCCTGGCACTCTTTGACTTGCTCACCCGGCCACAGCCGGCCCATACCCAGACCCAGACCCACCCGCTGTTGAGGTGACCGGGTAACGCGCTACCCACCACGGGTGCACAGACCCAGCGTGCCGACGACGGCTCGACCCGAGCCCAGCGCGGCCCGCTGCCGTCGCCGGCGAGGCAGGCGGCAGTCAGCGAGCCGCCAGTCGACACACTGTCTCTCTCGCACTCGTTGGCTGCTTATGGGAGTGAGAGAGCGAGATGCCATTCGCCTGACGCCCGTCAGTCGCTTGGCGCGGCTGTGGTTGGTTTTGCCTCGCCGTCGGCGCTGTGGCTCGTCGATCGGGCGCTGGTCGCCGCCGCTGGCCGCTACGTGTGAGTGTGTGTGTGTGTCAGTCTAGGTCGGGCCGGCCAGCGCCGACTGAACCTGTGCTGGCACCGGGTAAGAGCGCTCACCCGGCCGGGGACGGCGGGTGAGAACGCGGCAGCTTACCCACCCGATCGCAGGCTCTGTTTCAGGTGTGGAAATGCTCGGTTTCACACAGCCCAACAAGGGTGGCCTCGCGGAGCCCCTGTGAATCGGAGCATAGGCCGCCCGGCCGGCAGCGCTGCGCTGGGTCCGACAGCCTGCCGGGCGCTCTTCAGCCCGCTCTGCGGACGGGAGGGAGAGAGAGAGGGGAGAGAGAGAGAGGAGAGAGAGAGAGAGAGAGAGAGAGAGGGAGAGAGAGAGAGGGGGAAGAGAGAGAGAGAGAGAGAGAGAAAGAGGGGACAGTGAGCCACAAGCCAATGGGCCACTTGAGTTCACCAAGGCGTAACTCGTAACGCTGCAGAACGCGCGGAGGTAAGCAGTGTGCACACACGTGTATGTTTACCCCGTGCCTTTGCATGCAGAGGACAAACTCGAGAGCCAGCCTGCCGATATTCCAGGAATTTGATTTCGCATCTGCTCGAATTTAGGCCTACTGGGACGTGAATCGTGCCAACAACAACTCTCCAGACTCGTTTCGTATCCTTTGAGACATGAAGTGATCCGTGCTACTTTTGGAACGACAGTAGCTCCAGCCCGAGACTGCATGGCGTGCTTCACCTGGGAAAAAACCTCATAGCTGGCCCAAGCTCGCCGCACTCCGCGGTCCTCTTGCGGGAAAACAAGTACCTGGAATTACAACACAACTCCTGAAAAAAAATGGCCCTTTTTCCAGGATGCGTTTGGGAATTGCAGGTACTGCTTTTGCGGTGCAGCAGCCAGCAGCCCGGCGGCGCGATGGGGAAATCACTGTGAATTTCGTTGTACAAATCAAATGAATTTCAGTCAAATTTCAATGAATTCCAGTTAAATTTCGATGAATTTCAGTCGAATTCCGATGTATTTCAGTCAAATTTCGATGAATTACAGTCAAATTTCGACGAATTTCAGTCAAATTTCGATGAATTTCAATGCATTTTGGTGAATTTTACATGTCTGACGAATTTTGGCGTACAAATTTGGCTAGAGTTATTTCCTCCGCGGTGCACGCCCAGCGACCCAAGCCCCGCCCAGTCCTAAAAAACCATGGAGGGTCCCATGGTGCATGGGACATCATGGGATTGCATGGGAAGCAAAATCCCATGGTGTCCAAAACACCCCTCATTTTTGGCCCCTTTTACCATGAGAAAATTCCATGGTGTCTGGTTTGCATGGTGTACTGGTCCCATGACATCCCTCGTACACATGGCGTGCCAAGTGCCTTGTCACAAAGTCAAGCGAAGAGACACGAGGCGTTCATCTGTTCTCTTCACCCACGTAAAAATTCGATGCTGAACACGATGGAGCAGTCGCCGTCACTCTATCTCTAGTAGTTTTCAAGTTGCAGAGGGATTCTGAATAATCTCTGGAGACTTCAACGCACGGGCAAGAGCACGTTACCATGGTGCGAGCGCCACCATGGGGAAGCCATGCTTCACCATGACGATAGACACCATGGTGGTTCTTTCACCACGGAATTATTTGTCGCCCCATGCCGTGGTGTAAGAGTGCTCGTGGTGTTTTCCTAAATTTCCATGGCGAAAGATCATCGTCTCGTGGGAAGTCATCCATGGGACCCCATGTGCTCCATGGTTTTTTGGGACTGGGCGGGCAAGCAAGGCGCCCGCAAAAACAGGCTGCTGCACAGAAGTGCCGCGTCAAAGCCGCGAACAACATCTTGCAAGAAGCACGCCGCCGCGCCGCTCTCGTTCCGAACGGTCGCTCTGTCTCTCTCGCACCCTCACGGAGCGGCCCATGCGAGCGAGAGAGACAGGGCGACGCACCGTTCGGACTCGGCCTGCATAGGCCCGTGTTCCGGCAGGACCAAGGACCGAGGACCGAGGGCGCCAAAGCCTTTCGCGTAGCGGCCGAGGCGGGCCGAGGCGGGAACTAATGTTTATATTTGCACACTAATGCCGCCACTGGCCAGCGGACGGGCATCTTTCCGCTTCTTTCTTTGTTTCCCCTTTCCCTAACTCACTCCCACACACTCATCGTGTGTGTGAGTGTGTGTGCGCGTGTGTTTGTGTGTGTGTGTGTGTGTGTGTGTGGAAAGGGGGAAAGGGGGGGGGGGCACGGGTGTGTGACCACTGTCACATTTCCTGGTGCGGAGTAATTCTTTACACTTGGACGTGTGGAGTTTGCAGTCTCCACACGTCAAAGTGGTGAAGTGGCTCATACCGAAGAGCCCCGACCTCTTGGCATGGTGGAAAACGAAAAGTCTCATTATTCCGCATTTCACGTGTGGAATTCTCCACATTTCGTTTCACAGTGAGGGAGAGGGCATTACGCAATGCCGGCCCACGCTTCCCAGTGTGTCTGGCTCCGCTCCGCTCTGTCTATGCCGCTCGCCGCGGTGCTTTGCACTCTAAATATCTTACGAAGATGTTTCCACGAAGAAAATGGCGCAAAGATAATACGGAGGTGGTTTTTCTTCGTATTACGAAGGTTTTTCTTTGTATCTCACAATGAAAAATCTAAAAAAGATTCGTATTACGAAGGAGTATTGCGTCGTATTATGCTTGCGCCGAATTCACCGCAACATACGAATAACACAGGTCAAATTTCATTGTAAGACATTTAGAGTGTGGGCCATCACTGAAAAACCAAACGTGGTCCAGACCGCACCAACTGGTGTGGTCAAATGGGTGCCATTTTGACCACATCAAGTGGTGTGGTCTAGACCACGTTTGGTGCGGTCTAGACCGCACCAAAGGCACCAAACGTGGTCTAGACCACACCAACTGATGTGGTCAAAATGGCACCCATTTGACCACACCAGTTGGTGCAGTCTAGACCACGTTCGGTTTTTCAGTGATGGGCCGTGTCTCTCGTCGTTTCGTCGCGAGGCTGATTTCCTGTTTCCAAGTTGGCGGAGCGGGGTTAGAAAGGAAAATGGTCGGACAGGCAGCCAAATTAAGGCATGACAAAACGCCGCGCCAATTACAATTTCAATTACTCTCGGTCAGGACGCCCTTGGAAATCAATCCGGGAGACATTCTTTCTTGAAACGCAGGGCGGCGTTTTTACCTTGCGGCTGGAAGTGGTTCCAGTCGGTCGCTAATTGCTCGTCGCGGGCTTCCCTCGCTCTGTCTCTCTCGCACTCGCGGGGAGTTCCGTCGGGGTGCGAGAGAGACAGAGCGAAGAAAACGCAGCCCGCTGGGCCGGCCAGTCCTCGTTAGTATAATTATCATCCTTTTCCTTTTGCAGTGCGGGACGGATGGACGCTGTCGCCAGAGCAGTCAAGCCAGTAAGGGGAAGAGAGAGAGAGAGAGAGAGAGAGAGAGAGAGAGAGAGAGAGAGAGAGAGAGAGAGAGAGAGAGAGAGACGTAGAGGAGTTGCATTTGTGCGGCAAGTCTTTCCGGGTCAGTCGGCCGAGCACTCGGGGCGGGGAATGGGAAGTCTGTCGAGAGAGCAGAGGAGAGAAACCGCGAATACGCTCCGAATTCCAAGGCGACAATTCAGTACTTTTTTTGGCGATACAACTACAACTGTGTATGTCTTTTAAAGAGGCACGCGCCCACCCCTGCGAAATCCCCCAAACGCCTGATAATAGGCAACCAGCATCACATGCTGAAATATACTCAATCGCCCCTCTCTGTCGGAGGCTCCGGAAAACCGCGCCTGCCAAAAAGTTGGCGATAATGCGGAGCGAATTACTCCCACACTTGGGCATGTGGAATTCTCCACCCTCGGTTTGACAGTGTCCCCACACGGTTCACCGACACCAACAGCTTCGCTTCCGGACACGAGAGAGGGCGCGAGTTTCCGAACGCGTCGCGCTCTCTCCCTCGCACCCCAACGGGGCGCGGGACGCAGTGCGAGAGAGACGGGGCCGAGCTGCTGTAAGGTGTTGCGCTGCGCGCACCCGAAACCCGAGCCGACTCCGCGGCGGCGGAAAATCAATCCAGCAATCATTGTGCCGCCAACGAGCACATAAAGCCGGCATCAAAGGGCGGCCAAACTTTGGGCAAAGCTGCGGGAAAGCTTGAGCAAAGCTTGGGCTGGGTAAAGCTTGGGCAAAGCTTGGGTAAAGCTAGGGCAA